ACCCACTCCTCTCCTCACCTAATGTTCTCAAGGACGCAAACCTGTCTGATTGTGTCTTCTGCCTGACCCATCCACGACTTCCCTCTTATCAGCCGCTGACCCTTAACTGCACCCAGAGCTTCGTGCAAAGATTGGTTTGTGTATGCAGCTAACCTGAGATATGACTTCACCTGCAGCACCTGGTGCCTACCTGCAACAGTCGGATGTATCCCATACACACCACTAGGGTGTCTCTGGTGCAACCCAGAATGACCCGCATTGCTGCGTTCTGTATGCGCTCTAGTTTGTCCATCTGGCTCTTTGAGAAAACACAAGGAAGAAAAAAAATTGCAGAATTAGGATCAAACTTTCATAGCATAACCATATTAGTATAATAATAAAATAAGCGAGGACAGAAGTCATTGTGGACATTGTAAGAAGAGAAAAGTCAAAAGTGTAGGTCATTTGTGACTTCCCATTTTTTTTGTAAGCACAAAGAAAGTTCTCTTCAACATCTCAGTAAATGGGACAGTTCTTATCCCTGTCATGCTAAGAAGACTAGCTCTAGTTACTTCTAGTTGGGACACATTTCCCTCCAATGTATCAGCATTTCTAGACTGCTCTTGAAAATCATAGTTAAATGCAATTGGTTTTTTCTGCCATTGCACACTGTTTAGAAGGCCTGGATATGAATATACTAACTAAAAATAGCATTTAGGTTTTTTCTGTGAACCAGACTTTTTATAAAAACAAGTTGAGGTCATATTTTTTCCCAGAGCCTCAGTGGTAAGGTCACAGCATGAGTTATCAATGCATACTTTTTTTTTAAGGCTCTGGATAAGTATTCCATTTAATTCTTCACACTGTTCATGTTTACTGATTAAACAAAAAAGGTGGGGGGGGGGGGGGGGGGGGGGAATGTAGATATATAGATACATTCATTTTTAAACAATCAATAAGTGACTTGTGTACAATGGTTTTGGTAAATATTTTAGGGAATTCTCAGATTTCATTTTAGCGATTACCAGGGTGAGGAGAAAGGGTTAAAAAAGCGAACTAATTTAGTACCAAACAACTGAATATGCACTTATTAGGGCTCATTAACATAGTGTGTTTTTACTTGACCTTTTTTTGCCCTATCCTTCTGTAGTTTTAACTCACTGTATCTCAACTTTTTTTTGCCGCATAAAGAAGTTACAGTAAAACCTTACTAGCATGAATTACTATGGTCCAAAAATCAAGCCCATACTGAATTTTTTTTTCTAGTTAGCACTAATACATCATAATACATCCATGCTAGGACTGAAATTGTGGTCATGTTAACTGGGTATTCTTAAGTAGTGGGTTCATATTAATGAGGTTTTACTGTATTTAAACAATTTTAGATCCATGCAGTTATTCTTTTAGGCAAACAATTCTTGATATAGAAAGAAAGTTAAGAGTGCTTAAGACTGAAAGAGCTAATGAGTAAACAAAAAATGGAAATGGTGATTTTGGCTATGTGAATAGGAAACCACAAATGGACAGGTCCTTCATACAGGTCTGCGGCAAGAGACAGTCCTGAAGTGGGATTCTGAGGCAGGACATAACCGAATCTTAACTATAATGTCACTGGGGTTATGTTCGTGCCTCTAGGCCCCTAGGGAAGGTTCCGAGAAAATCTTGCTGGTGGTAGGGTCAGCCCTAAGGATGGAGAGATGCTTGAGGAAAAAATGTTAAGCACGGATATTATGAGGGTGGTAGGTAAGTGTGAGAATGGGTCTGTTGTGGGGCCGTTTAGGCTAGAAAGCGAGAGTTTCAGCATCATGGACAGACCGTGCTCGGTGAAAGGCAGCAGAAAAGACATGTTCCGGATACCTACAGCATCGGAAGAAGTCCAACATTTCTAGGACCTTTTAGTGAAAGTAAACTTTCTCCTGGCATTGTCTGCCAAGGCGTAGAAGCTTTGAGAAAGGAATGGAGTCCTTGCAGGAAGAGGGATGAGAAGACGTGTATAGAAGAAAAGCATTGGGATCAGTAGGCTTATAGTACACCGAGGTGCTGAGGCCTTTAGAGTCCATGGTGACGGTGAGATCCAGAAAATGCACAGATGAAGAAGAAATGTTGAAAGTGCAACAGATGCAGGAATGGAAGTTGGAGAAAAAATTAATGAAGTTTCGCAATTCAGGTAGGGACATATCAGTGACACTGATCCAATCATCGATAAACCTCTTGAAGAGCTCGGGGAACCTACCGGTATAGGCATGACGTATCTAATGCTGAAGATGACCCATGAAGAGGCATTCATTGCTAGGTCCCATCTTGGTGCCCATAGCAACTCAGCTAATCTGGTTGAAATAGTGGTCGTTAAACTCAAAAGAGTTTAGAGTGAGCACTAATTCGGCCAGGCATATCAAAGGGTCAGTGGCTATAGCAGGGCTGACTGTATGATCTAGAAAGTACCGCAAAGCCTGAAGCCCATCAGAGTGTAAATTAGAGGTGTAGTGGGAGGTAACATATAAAGTGAACATGTGGTACCTGGAAGAAGAGGTGACTCGGATGGATTGGAAGATGGAAATAGCATGGTTAGTATCCTCTGAGACAGATGGTTTTTAGTACTCTCAGACAGATGCACTCTAAAATCTTTTAGACAGATACACCCTAACTTTGAAGAAAGCACCCCTAATTAGTTGCCTTTTGCCACATGCGTGTTAGGGAAACAGTGGGTCTATTCTTTTAGCCAAAAAATGGAACCACAGAATCTACATGGAGAGGATTCTTCATCTAAGTCTATGCTGTGTGGTGTTGGTCATGTCTTCCCAGCTGGTAAACAGTTTCTCTTAGTTTCCCAGTCCGCTGGTATATAACTGGTTTATAATCATGTGCAGTGACGCTGGTTTACGTCTGACTTTACCTTTAGGTAGCAGCCTGGAGGGGACAGACTGATTGCTGATTAGTTGGACTAGATAAAAATAAAGCAGGCTAGGCTAACCCACAGTTAGTTAGTTGGGTTATCATCATTGCACTTCGTATATGTTCATAGGTACTCAGATCCACCGCTCAATACCAGTTCTGTGTTGATTAACAAGTCCTCTGGTGTGCGTCTCGTATTTTGCCTTGTCGATCTTCACTCCCAAGTCTATCATTCTGGGGCGTGATATAGATTCACTGCCTCCAAAGTCCTCCACCCATCCCATTTCTCAGAGGGCATTAATAATATCAACATGACCCATAGGTTGACCATCTGTAGTGATAGCGGATCCAGCCAACCTATCAGTTCTTTCATTTCCATTGACGCCCGCTTGTCCCGAAACGAAAGTAAAGGTGACTCCATGCACAGTGGACTTCTGTAATGACACAAGCTACAACCTTCACACCGAACAAGCCTGAACCTTCCGGATCATACCTACAGTGCAATAATTCAATAGATTTTGAAAATCTCTTCCACTTTAAAAAATACGTAAATTGTTAATGATATCAGAGAGTGTTAAGCGCAAGTTATTTATGTATGAACTTGTTCTTTTTCAGGTCACCCATAATGTCATCTTACACAATCGATCTTCGCAAGATGGATGAAAAAATCATCAATGTATTAGATTTCCAGTTTCTGTATGGCTACTTTGAACCGACAGTCTTAATTTTGTTTGAACCACTAGCTACATGGGCAGGGTATGTCTTTTGTTCAATTATCTGGTCTTATTAAGTTCTTGTGTTAGGTAAGTCTGTCATACCTGTCTGGACGTGCTAAATCTTGTTTTGGGTAAGTTGTTTAGGCTTGGGGAGTCATATAATGGGTAAGTCTTTCATATCTGTCTGGACTTAAGTCTAATGTTGGGCAAGTCCTTTCCAGCTTTCTGGACTTGCTAAGTCATGTAAAAGGAAATTCTTTTGCTATGTTTTGTCCAGGGTAAGTTTGCCTCAGATCTCTAACGTGCTTAGTATTGAACTGCATAAGTCTTTCTCAGTTATCTTTTTACTGTTTTGGATACATCATTCTTAGCTGTCTGGTCTTGTTATGTCTTGCGCTGAGTAAGTCTTTCTCAGTTTTCTCGCCTTGCCAAATCTTGTGTTATATAAGTCTCTTTAGCTATCTGATGTGCTTAGTACAGTACTGTTCATATCTTTCTCAGCTTTTGTTTTTGAAGAGTTTTTCTCAGTTGTTTGAGCTGTTTAAAAATGTAACAATAGTTAAGGAAATGGTGAGAAATGGTGTTTAGTAGGATGTTGAGAATATTGTAGACAGAGAGGTAACAATAGTAAAATGTTGTTGACCTGCATATTTTACTAGATCTCTCATCAAAACTACTAGGAAAAGAGATGATTTCTGTTGGACATTTCTAAAGAGGATGAAGAAAACAATATGCAGAAAAATATGAAGAGGTTTGAGGTTTTGAACAACGGATCAACATCATGGCACATGGATGTAACCCATAAGTGCTCCATTCTTCTCTCAAACTCAAGTGTGAGCCCGAAGAAGCTCAGCACAGTACAAGTGCTCTGTAGCACCGGCGAGGATCCTGAAATACTTTGGGTATATTTTAAACTCCAAATTTTGCCCGGGCAGTGCCATTAGGCTACGCTTTTCAATTTTCAACTGCCAAGGAATTTTTTACGTGTGCAACAATGTAACGGGCGTCCGATCTTACTACTCAGAGACCCGGGGGAATTACTAGAAGTCCAAGTCCACGTGAAAAAATCCCAGCCCTTATCGAGGATTGAACCTGGAACCTCTAGCACTCGAGGCAGACACCATGCCTCGAGACCAAGATGAGCAGCTGCAAACACAGAAAGATGTTTGTAATAAATTTAAACACCTGGACAACAAATATTAATGTAAACAATGTGAAGGAAATTACAAATGAAACTGAGAATTGGAGGTGCATGAAGAAGAAGAGGAAGAAAGAAAGTGATAAGAAGAGGAGAAGGAAGAACAGAAAAGTTAGAGGAAGAAAAAAGTAGCAGTAATTATCTAAATGTATGAAAAGATGAATTCTATAAGCTGAGTTGACATTTATTGTTTTTTATTTTATCTGCGCCTCCAGGAGGGTAGCAGTGAGAAGAGATACCTGCAGCATTGTTGCCATCTCCTTGAACATCCAACAGAAAGTTCATCCTATTATTTGGTCCCAAGGGAACTTGCCTTTTGACTGCTTCAGCATATGTGCCATACCTAAACCTATAGGTACATTTTCTTGAACACATGTTCTTGTACTGTACATAGGTTACCTGCTGCTGTTATAAGATATCAGTTGCCTAGTTATAGGTGTCATGGGAGTTTGTATCCAGGTTTTCAACCTGGAAGACACTGCTTAGATCAAATATTCACCCTGAGATTATTTTAAAGGAAAAGTTGAAAGAGAACTTATTTTGAATTTCACCAACTTTAATGAGGGTTTTAATAGCTTATACACAGTGTGAAGGTTCAGAATGTATAGTGCGAACATATGATGGTTTAAGTGATTGATTTAAAATTGAAACTAGAGTGAAACAGGGATGCATTTGATCTCACCTATTTGGCATAACCATTGACCAGGCGATGTTGAGTTGGAAATACCAGCATTAACTGGGTGAAGAACACACAGTTGGAAGATCTAGATTTTGCAAATGACATTGTTCTGCAAGTAAAAACAGTGAAAAAAGAGATCATTTAGCAAAAATGGCATTAAAGGTTTGACAACAAATAATTAGTCCACCTTTGTTGTGAGATCTGTTTATGAGTAGTTTGTCAGTTATATTGTCAAGCATCATCAGTTCAAGTCCCAGTAGAATTCTCAGTGCTATTGTTATCACTCCTGATCACAGCCTAATGAGATTAAACATGAAAATAGCATTTAATGTAATATTGTGCCTATGTGGTGGCTTACTGGCCATCCTCCGAATAATGGTCCTAAATTATCGAGACCGAAAACATACCCTAACAGGGCCTCAGTCACATGTCAATTGCAGATTTCCGGCGACTACCGCCACCGCCGAGAGTATCTCCCACACCGCTACGTGCGGCTTGGAACGGGGCTAAACTAGATGGCTGGGACTCACGAGCAAATAAAATGAAGGAAGCTGCAGGAGATGTGGTAGCTGCTTCTCGTGAGTCCCAGCCATACTCTCGGTGGTGGCGGTAGTCGCCAGAAGTCTGCAAATTAAGTCACCGGAAGTCTGCACTTGACATGTGACTGAGGCCCTGTTAGAGTATATATTTTCGGCCTTGATAATTTGAAACCGTTATTCGGAGGATAGCCGGCTTATTGAATACCCCCTCCCCTGCAACCACCACCACCTCCAGGAAAAAAGTTGGGAATTGGGTACAATGGGAAGTTATGTGTCAGCTAATTATCTCTCTCACTAGCTGACCATTGTTGTGTTGATTTCAAGGCATATTAGTCCTACATTTAAAACAAATGTTGTGCATATGTCAGATATGTTATTAGTAAAGTACTGTGACAATATTATAGTGTTCGTGAGATCAGGAATTCTGTAGTTTGGCTGAAATTCAAATGGAAGAGACAAATTAATATTATATATGTGTATGTATATTTATGTGTGCATTTTTTATGTGTTTATATTTATAATCCTGGCTGAATCAAACGTGTACAGAGATTGGGGAAAACAACAGGAAAGATTCACATTCCATGTACCAACAGATAAATATGTTAACAGGATGACACTTAACAGCACTGGATGTTTGAAATCAAATGACCTTTTAAAATCTATATTTATATCTCTGCCTAAGAAACCAGGCACTATAACATGTGAAGACCATCGCACAATAAGTCTTATGAGTCACATGACTAAGATTTTACTGAGAAAAGTTATGAGAAGAATTAGAAACAAAATTAAACCAGAAATCAGCGATGAACAATGTGGATTTGTAGAAGGAAAAGGTACAAACAATGCCATATGCATCCTAAGGACATTGTCAGAAAGAGCTATAGAAGTAAAGACTGATTTGTACATATGCTTCATAGACTGTACAAACATTTTGACTGTGTGAAGCATGAAGAAGTGATCAAACTGTTAGAAAAATTAAACATTGATGGGAAAGATCTACGAATAATAAAGAATATGTATTGGCAGCAAACAGCAGCTATAAGAATTAACAACTGTTTAGGTACATTTCAAAGCATAAAGAGGGGCGTACGACAAGGATGTGTACTGTCACCTGATTTGTTTTCAATATACAGTGAATATATAATGCGATCTTTAATTGGTATGCTCGGAATTGTGGTTGGTGGGCACAATATAAACAATTTACGTTATGCTGATGACACAGTCTTGATAGCAAAAAGTCAGAAAGAACTACAGGAAATCATAGACATTGTGGTGTTAGAAAGTGGAAGAATGGGCCTCAGTTTGAATAATGGGAACACAGAAGTAATAGTGGTATCAAAGAAACGAATTATTCCTAAGTGTGTAATAAAAGTTGATGGTGTTATTTTAGGACAAGTACAGAAATTTAAGTATCTGGACACATGGATAACATCAGATGGAAGATGCATAACTGAGATAAGAAACAGAATAGGACAGGCAAAAACTGCATTTTATAAAATGAAAAACATCTTGTGCAATATATCCTTGTCATTGAGAATTAGAAAAAGAATTCTTGCTTGCTACATACATCCAGTTTTAACATATGGCTGTGAATCCTGGACAATCGGTAGGCAGGCCAAACAATTTCTAGAAGCCTCAGAGATCTGGTTTTATAAAAGAATGCTTAGAATACCTTGGACAGCCAAAAAGAGCAACCAAGAGGTTTTGAAAGAGACGGGAGCCCGATGACAACTTATCACAGACATCAGAAGAAGACAGTCATCATTTGTCGGCCATGTTATGAGAAGAGGGAAAATAGAACATGTTGTGACCACTGAAAATATATGTGGAAGGAGAGATAGAGGAAGACGAGAGAAGATGCTTGACAGTCTTGTTGCTTGGCATGGAGGTGGGTCGGCACACGAACTGATACATGCTGCAGGAGATCGCAGATTATGGAGAGGCATGATCGCCCACGCCAGTCAGCAAGGCACCTGATGATGATGATGGTATTTATAATGTGTGCGCATTATATGCTCGGTCTTCTTAGCATTAATCTGTTTTAAACTCTGATGGAATGTCCTGATTCGTCTATTTCTGGATTTTGGAACATGTTTGTTCGGAACAGTGGCTCTCTTCCTTTTTTCCCCCACCCTCAAAATGGGGCCCAGAACATAGATGAGGAGTATGCCAAATGAAGAAGATAGACAGGAGCTTCCGTGAAACAGCCATAACATTTTTATTTTGGTTCATTGTGATAGAGCTGGCCAGTTTTTTTAAGATGTATATTTTTGTAACTGTATTTTATGTATTATTATGTTCATAAAAATAAGAATGTTTTAGAAAATACTGATTAATTTGAAACTAAATAAAGTTGATTTGAAAATCAAAGGTAGTATTTACCTTTTAGTTGCATGTAGAGTGTGTTTGAACAAAATCAGACTTGTTTGTGAAATTAAATTTATTTTTTATTTTTTCCCAAGGGGGAGTTCTTATAATGGCTGTAAACTCACTGCTGTACCTGAATCAAAGTATGCCGCCTTATGGAGTGTCTCTCAACAGTATTGCTGAAGCCTCTTCATCGTTTCCCCTTAGTAAGTATTTTATAAGTCTTACATGCTAAACACATTTAATTTACTGTTCTATTTCAGTAGTATATTCCAGTCGTCTGCTGAGTGGAATTGCAGTTTTGCCAGATCATAGATGTTTATTGTTAGTTTAGATGACATGCTTTGCTTCATGGATGGTGGGTTTGTCTCTTTTTTTAATGTTGGAATTGATAACAAAACAGTGAAGAAAACAAATACAAATCAATTTGTTTTCAACCCAAATAATATTTTAATTTTTTGGGTAAAATTAATCGTACTCATGTCTACATAGTTTACATTTGCAGTCAGCATCAAAGCTGGTTTCCAGGCATAGTGACCTCGGTCCAAAGAGGTGCCACCAAAAAAAGAATTGTTAAGCCTAGATCTCATCATAAACAGGCAGAAAGGGTTAACAAACCCATTCAATGTGGCAAAGTACCAGGGAGTGATTAGATTTCCTCAGAACTAGTTAGATACCTCTTAGAACTAGTTAGATACCTCTCAGAACTGGTCAAATACCTCTCAGAACTGGTCAAATACCTCTCAGAACTGGTCAGATACCTTTCAGAACTGGTCAGATAACTCTCAGAACTGGTCAGATACCTATCAAAACTGGTCAAATACCTCTCAGAACTGGTCAGATACCTCTCAGAACTGGTCAGATACCTCTCAGAACTGATCAAATACCTCTCAGAACTAGTCAAATACCTTTCAGAACTAGTCAAATACCTCTCTGAACTAGTCAAATACCTCTCTGAACTAGTCAAATACCTCTCAGAACTAGTCAGATACCTCTCAGAACTAGTCAGATGCCTCTCAGAGTTGGTCAGATACCTCTTAGAACTAGTCAGTTACCTCTCAGAGTTGGTCAGATACCTCTTAGAACTGGTCAGATACCTCTCGGAGCTAGTCACATACCTCATAAAACTAGTCAGATACCTCCCAGAACTAGTCAAAAGCCTCATTCACTGCTTAGTCACTTAGATATGAGTAAGTAAAAGTCCTTATCCACGCCTTAAGGTGTATAGGGCATATAGAGCTACACCTATATTTTTATATATCAATCGGCACAATATGGGTGATGTAGTCAGCAGAACGCCGGCCACCTTTACTTCCCTGGACTGAACCCATGACCTTCCAGCCGCTACACCACAGTTACTCCCACTTAGATATGAGAGATCCACAATTATTACCCTAAATAAGAGTATTTTCTTTTTTAGTTGAGACAAGAAGGTGAATTCTTTAAAGCTATTTAAACCCTATCTTGATATATGGAATTGAATCATGGATATTTGGTAGATTAGTAAGAAATTATCTAGAAGCTGCAGAGATGTGATTTTATAGACGGATCATGAGAATACCCTGGACAGATAAAAAGAATAACTAGGATTTCTTGGAATAAACTGACTCACAAAGAGAACTGATTGCCCACATCAGAAAGAAACAATTTACTATCTTTAGTCATGTCATGAGAAGGAGAAAACTGGAGTACATCATGACAGTAAGGAAGTTGGAGGGGAGGAGAGACTGAGGGAGACCAAGAGAAAAGGTGCTGGTCAGTTTGGAGTATCATCTGTGTCAGAATTTATTATTATTGTACACAAGACAGAAGGTTGTGGAAAGACATGACTACCCACGCCACACAACATGGATTATAAGAAGAAGACAGGAGACAGAAGGTTGTGGATAGACATGACTACTAATGCCACACAGCATGGACTATAAGAAGAAGACAGGAGACAAAAGGTTGTGGATAGACATGACTACCAATGCCACACGGCATGGACTACAGGAAGAAGACAGGTTGCAGAAGGTTGTGGATAGACATGACTACCGATGCCACACAGCATGGACTACAGGAAGAAGACAGGTTGCAGAAGGTTGTGGATAGACATGACTACCGATGCCACACAGCATGGACTATTAGAAGAAGACAGGAGACAGAAGGTTGTGGATAGACATGACTACCGACGCTACACGACATGGATTGTAAGAAGAAGACAGGGGACAGAAGATTGTGGATAGACATGACTACCGATGCCACACAGCATAGATTATAAGAAGAAGACAGGAGACAGAAGGTTGTGGATGGACATGACTACCGACGCCACACGGCATGGACTACAAGAAGAAGACAGGAGACAGAAGGTTGTGGATAGACATGACTACAGACTCCACACAGCATGGACTTTGAGAAGAAGAAGAGTAAAGGTAACAGAAAGGACTGCAGTAATTGTAGGGGTATTTCTGTATTGAGTAATGTTGGCCAAATTATGCATGCTGTAAGACACCTGAGGTGGGTAGGTTCAAGTAACTGGCTTCCTCATCTCATAGAAAACACAGGAGCACATGGTGATGAAAGAGCTGATCAGCTGGCAAGTAAGGCACCAATACAAACAGGAAGAAGCATGGACAGAGCTAATATCATCAACGCTGTACATACTAGGTTAGGGGATAACGAGAAATCTCTGATGCTAACATATGACCGAGGATTTAAGACAGGAGATACTATAATCAACTCCTCATGGGAGCAATCAGTAGAGGTACCTTGGAGTGGCTGTTGCATCAGAGGACTGAGCACACATGGAGATGCCTAATGTGCAAAGATTTCGATTATGACAACATAACATAGCATAGAAAACTTAGTTGCAAAATCCAGCCAGTCAGGACATGTTTATAAAATGCTTGGCTTGAGCTGGTTTTGGGATCTCTACACTACTGCAGGCAGCAAAAGAAAAAGAATTCACAATTGTGAAATTGTATATTGTGTCTTTTAAAATCCTCAGAAATCCAAGAAAATGTTATATGTGCTCTGGACTGTGCTCAGTTTACTCTCATCAGCAATGACAGGCTTGTTTTATCTCTCAAAGGTGGAGAGCTGTAAGTACTGGTCAAGTATTTATGTGTAACCTCAATAACATTTATTTTAAAAACGACTGTTCTGTACTTGGCAAGTTGCTTCATGCTGATGAAGATTTCATAACTTGTGATAATAGAAATTGAAAAAGGCTTAAATAAACATTGAGACCCACAGGATCAATGAAATAAAGGCTGACCAGAAAACATATGAAAAATACAAGAGTGAAGGAAGTTAGAGAGGAAAGTTAAAAATATGGGGGTGAAAAGGGAATTAGCTGTGTATGATAGCAAAGAATAGGATGACTTGGCATGAGATGGTTGAAGGCATATGCTCCATTGAAGGATAGAGGGTAGAAGAAGAAGAAAACATGAAAAAAAAAGAATAAAGCAAGAATGAGGTGAACAAGATTAGAGGAAGTTGGTTGAGGGTGTAAACTCCATTGGGAGATAAAGGATAGACAAAGACGCTAATCATTGAGTTTTCAGCATAAATTAGGAGTCTTGTAAATAGATTTAACAATACTATAGATAATCCAAGAAAATATGAGATAGAGAGAGAGAGAAAAAAAAGGGGGGGGGGGTATAAAATAAAAAAAACTTGTTTGCTTGTGTTTCCAAATGCAGAAATAAATCAGAAACATCGTGTTAGATTTTTGACACTAAGAGTTGAGTTTCAAGAACTGACATCACAGCACTCTGGACATTTCCATAAGCGCTGTATGCCTGTCTTCAGCGGCCAGCGTAAAGTTCCAACTCTGAAATAACCAGTATCATTTAAGAATAATGTATATGTATTTCTAATACTAGTTCAATAAGTCATACAACTAAAGTATTAATGAGAATTATATATAAAAAAAGAAAAGAATAAGTTGCACAATTAAATCAGAAATGGGAGAAAAGCAGTGTGGTTTTATCAAATGTAAAGGCACAAATACCATTTCTATCAGGAGAACACTTACAGAAAGAGTGAGTGAAATTAACCCTGTATTTGCGCTTTGCTTACACTGGAGAATTTGATAAAGTGAAACGTGAAGAAATTAGAATTTTGGAAACCTTAAGCATTGATGGTATAGATCAGAAAAATAAGGGTAACAAATACATAGTGGCAACAAGAAGCAGGTTTTAGACTGGGATGTGTACTATCACACAATGTATTCAGTTGCACAGTGAATTAATAATTAAATCCATAAATAGTATACCAGGAATATTAGCTTGTGAGAATATTGTGAACAATCTGTGATATTCTGACGATATAGTTTTGATCGCTGACAATGAAACATAACTGCCAAAAATACGGACAGTTGTCACATAAAGTCAAAACAAGGGTCTTAGTTTGAACAGCAGGAAAAAAAAACAGTAGTAATGGTAACTAAACAGAAAGTAGACCTTCCATAATGCAACCTCAAAGTTACTGGGACAATCCTCCAGCAAGTTGATATGTTTAAATACTTGGGTACCCTGATAACAACTGTTGGAAGATGTATTAAAGACGCTAAGTGTAGAATAGCTCAAGCAAAGGCAGCATTTTACAAAATAAGGAATATTCTGTGCAATCTTTATTTGTGAATTGAGATAAGAAAGAGAATTCTTGTGAGCTATATAAATCCTGTTCTGATACATGGGAGTGAGGGATGGATAAATAGTGAAAAATTATATGGAAGCGGTGGAGACGTGGCTTTACAGACAGATGATGAAAATACTCTGGACAGATAAAAAGAGTAATGAAGATATCTTGAGATAGACTGACATAAGGATAGAACTTATAGACCACATCACAAGAAGATGATTTACATTCTTTTGCCATGTCTTGAGAAGGAGAAAACTGGAGTACCAAGTGATGGTGGAAAAGTTGGAGGAGACTAGAGGCAGAGGGAGACTGTGAGAGAAGATGCAGGACAGTTTTACATCATGCTTAGGAAGATCATCTGTGTCTGAATTGATTGAAAGTACCTGAGGCAGAAGGTTGTGGATAGATATGACTATCAACGCCATACGGCATGGACTATAGAAGAAGGTTTCTATACACTGTATGATTTTATGTCATAGCATATTTTCATGTTCGTTTAAACATTTTTTACTTTTGATACCAAAGCTACCGTCTCACTTATTGCCATTTGTTCTTTATATATTCTGTACTGTTAAAAAATAGAAATGGGATTACTTGATGGTGCGTTCCTGTTTAAAAAATAATAAGAAAGAAAGAAATGCATCGTTATCCGATGGCACATTTTTATTAGTTGATGAGAAAGCCCATACGCCTAAAAACTATTTATGATCCAGATGCAAAGGAAAACTGTCAGTTGATTGGTTGAACCCTGAGGTATTTTTTGTGCAGTTTGAACAGTTTCACTGTTTATATTACAAAGATTTGAATGTCAAAAGTATAACAATACTATGTACCTTTCAGTAGCTATGTTATTTTTGTTGCTGAATATTAAAGTGTCATTGAATAACTATGCATTACTTTTTTTTTAAAAACAGTGTACATATATGGCCTGATGTATATATTTCTAATATACATATAATCATAAATGTCACATTAACTCTTTCAGGCCCATGAATTTTGACAGACTTGGCCCAAATTAATTTCCCTTCACAAAAATGGCAGAGGGGTGGGTGCACAAGAAAGGCTATAGAGATTGTAATATACTTCTAATCCCTATAAAAGTATATATAATAACTTTCTGAGTAAGTTTAGCACTCAGAAGCTCCTAGTTCTCACAGAGTGCTGAGCAAAATTTCAGAGAAAAATGGCAGAAAAGTAAGCCATTACACGCACAGTATTTACTATTTACTTTGTACAGTTATTCACAGACTGTAGTTGCGGTGATTTTAGTGTAACTTAGCCATAGTATAGTACAGTTTATTTGTTTAGAGCACTTTCCTTCTCTTACACCATAAATACGGTAGTAAGCTACATTGTTTGTGTAATAAACTCATCAGAATCACTAGATTCCGAACAGCTGATCGCTCAGCTTCACTGGTGAAAATTCACCGTCTGAATCACTTTCCAAAAAATCTAAATTTTCAAAATCATTATCACAATTAAGAACATCTGATTGAAACAATTTCAGAGCTTCGGCCGCAGAAAGACGCATTCTGCGACCTGTACTTGTAGTTGGAACATTGGTATTCATGGCACTCCAAAACGAACTTAGAAAATGAACTGCAAAAAAAACAATTTTGCTGTGTTTTCTCTCAAATTATCCACGTGTGGTTTAGTCCAGGAAATGAAACTAAAAGGATTTCGGCAGAGTGACTTTCCCTGAATAGTTTAATCGTACCTCCAAACATTTGAAACTAATACGAAGCCTCGTGCGAAGCAAAATGTAAGGGACACACAATTGACGATGACACTGTTATTTGGGCAAAACAGAAACCCTCTCGAACCACGCTCACACCGTTGTTTGAGCCTCAAAGAGTTAAGTTGTCATAATTTTATAAATTTAATTGATTTAAAAAAAAGTATTGAATTGTCACTCTATGAGATTTTGTTTAGGGATACTACTAAGTCACCATTCTGTGTTGCAGGTATGTGCTAACATTGGTGGTAGATGGCATGAGGTGTGTCCGAGAATTTCATTTTGAAAAAGCTGCTTCTAGTGTCCTCACTGCATGTGTAAGTGTTGCATGTTTTAGTCTGTTGTTACGTGTCCTCAGAAACAAACCCTGGGTTTAGCGTGGTTTTTTATAGCACTTGATGCTGTCTTGAAAATATTTGTTGTTTCTTTTTAAGTAGCTGAAAATGTTTGTGTGTACGTGTGTGTGTGTGCACACAACTTCTTTGGAACTGGTTAATCTCAGGTGATTGTTTCTCTGGCAGAATGCGTATGTTTATTACACACTGCCATATTCCAGCAACTTTGGTTGTATCTCAGGCAATTTTAGTGTTAAATAGATCAGAGATTTGCAGATGACAGTGAGGGGATGTCAGTGGTGCCAACTTGGTTACTGGCCACACCCAGAAGCTTCTACTTGGTAGGCATTCACAGTCTGGTGGATCAGTGGACCACATGTGTTGCAAGGCAGGGAGACTATGTGGAGGAATAGGACACCGAATAATTTTCTTCTGGCAGCTTGTAAAAATATTATTCATGCAATTGCCTTCACTTAATGACTTCCCCTTGTATTTCCTTACTTCTCCTGTAAATGTATTCTTTATGTTCTGTTCCTCCATTTACTTCCCTGAGCTGTTAGGGGGAGATGTAGGGATCTTCTGAGTGATCTTTTTAATGCATTGTTTAAGTTTATCTTAATTTCTTTAAGACTGTTCAGGATGTCATTGTTCCATATTTTGTGTGAGTTTCCTTTTGCTCTGTGTTTTTTTATGTCTTCAGCATGCCTGTCTATGGCAGATGGTGCCAGTCCACTCTTGTCAGATGCCTAAATATCTAATCTGTTGCTCTGTTATGAACTATTTGCACTTTTTAAACAGTCAGTTGATGATAATGTTCATACTATTTAAACCAAACATGTGATAGGATAGGAGGTGCCTATAGGTAGGGTTGGTCTTGAAATTAGCTATCCTGTCCGATAAAAAGCTTCAACCTCAAAAGCCAGCCAAGGTTGGGTAAAGATGTATGTATGCTCAGTTGTTAAGGCTTCTAAATTAAAATTAAAAAAAAAACCTCATGAAGTATTCATTACTGAACAAATGTATTCCTTTTTTTCCCCCAGATGTGTACCTGTGGTGATGGTTATTTATTTCTGGGATCACGTCTTGGGAACTCACTGCTACTGAAGTATATAGAAAAGTCCTCTGGCACTATAATCCAGCCAGATGAGAAACAGTTAGGGGCATCAGCTTGCAAGAAACAGCGGATGGATGGCCTTGAGCAGCTAGGTATCCGTTTAATTGCATCTTGAATTGTTAGATTTGAGAACCTTGTTTCTTTCCTTAGAGGATGGATTAATGGAGGGACTGACAAGGTAAAACTTTACAGCATCAAACATGCTTTTGCCTAGATACTAATCTGTATAACTGATGCCTAGAAGAACAAAGCAGATACTGACAGAAGAAAGAAAGAAAAAGGCACTAATAAATGAAGTTGCATATATAGACAGAGCACAGTTTATTTGCTCTAGGTTGGTTATACAAGCTTGATTTATCTTTATCTAAAGAAGGCATTTCAAGGGGTGAGGATCAACATCCACCTGTGTGTTCCCTGGGCTCTCATGTGAAGCAAAGAATAGTAAAACTGCATCCTACCAGGCATCTCATTAGAGGAAACTAAGGGTTGGGCTTGGGGTTGCCTACTTCATCCTGTAAAAACAATAGCCACAAAAGCAATCATGGATCAACATCATTGCACTTAGTTTTATTCCTCAAAAGTAACAACACCCCCCCCCCCTCCCTCCCCCACCCACATCCCCTTTTTTGTGTCTGTCAAAGATGTCTCAAACACCCGCACTCATGAATCACATGACACTAATGAAATTGAACCCACAGCACAAAGCAGACGGCTCAACTACTTCACTATAGAGAACCCCAGATTGATTAACCTAATGGTGATTTAAAAGTGACCCATAACTTAAATATTCATTTAGTAAAAATATTTATATCTGCGTGTTATAGTTTTTTTTTCATCTAGACACCACAGGTTTTAAACACCTGATGTGTTGGAATATTAAGTTTGTTTTCTTGTATTTGTAGCCTCTGATGTGACAGAAATTGCAAATGTTGATGAATTGGAAGTATATGGAGCAACAGATAGTCAACTGGGGACAATGATTGCATCTTATTCATTTGAGGTAAACATACTAAAATGTAAAACCATCAGTTATATCTTATAAGCTTTAAGATCTTCTTAATTTGTGTACCCAACTGTCTTTTTATATGAGAATAAATTGCAAGTAAATTGCAGACAGAATCAGGAACCAAAACAGGAAAGAAGAAAAGGTAACTCTGAATTAACAGATTAATAGAGAGAGAAAAAAAGCCTGTTAATGTTACTTTGCATATTGTGTCATGACATACTCAAGAAATTTGGATTGCGGCCTGATTCTTTTTCTAACTTCTTTATCCGTCCATGGTGTTGTTATGTTATCATTCTCCATTAAAACTAATTTTTCTCTATGTAATGGATGCCCTGATAATGTATGAAACATTGGCAGGTTTGTGATAACATCTGGAATATTGCTCCCTGTGGAGAAGTGGCAATAGGAGAACCGGCCTTCTTGTCAGAGGAGTACAGCGGCCGAGCTGACCCGGACCTGGAGCTGGTGACCACGTCTGGTCACGGTAAAAATGGGGCTATTTCTGTTCTGCAAGTAAGTTCACATGACATTGGTATCATACTTCAAGTGAGTCCGCACTATACTGGTACAGTATTGGAAATAAGTGAATTAATGGATTCTTTTCTATGCCTTCAAGCATATAGGGCTAGACCAGTATCTTATAGACTAATCAGCACATGTTAAGTGATGGGTCAAAATCATGCCAGCCGCCTTTACTTCCCTGGACTTTACCTGATACCTATTTAAAGCTGGGTTGACTTGAGAGCCGAGGTCATTTTCTTAAAGTCTGGCTCCGTAAGCACCTGAATATTCACTTTCAGATTCACAGGTGAGCGAATAGCTGCTACACTACGGCGGCTGCCATATTGCGAGTAAGCTCGCACAAAATTGTTACTGTGTTACAAGTAAGATCACACTACATTGGTACCTTCTATCAAGTAAGCTCACTCTACATTGGTACCATATCACAAGTGAGGGCACTACATTAGTAGGGTATAACAACTAAGTTCATACTACATTGGTACCATATTACAAATAAGCTCACACTATATTAGTACCATATTACAAGTAAGCTCACCCTACATTGGTACTTATTACAGATAGTTCACAATGAAATAGGTGATGTACTGCAAATGTTTACTCGCATTCCATTGGTATCAAACTGCAAGTTAATTCACACTACATTGGTACCATACTGCTAGTTAGTTTAAACTACATTAGTACCATGCTGCAAGTAACTTCATGCTACAGTGCTGCCATACTGTAAGTAAGTTCAACTATGACATTGGCACAGTACGGCTAGTTAATGCACATTTCATTGGTACCAAATGTAGAGGTTGCAAATAAAAAAGTGAAATCCGTCGGCCAGCTACTGTTGAGTACATAGTGCGATACTGTGAGCTGGGAATTTGAATGCTTATTGTCTGTGCTGCCGCTCCTGGAGATGTTTGTTGTAAACTGCCAATTCAGAAATTGGTGAGTGGCTGGTTGCCACAGAAATGGTAGTGTGCCTGATGCAGTAATGTTGTTCACCTGCTGGTCTGTTGTGATTGCTGCTGCCATCAACAGGGAATAGCAATTTTTTTTTGAGAGGCTGCAGAGTTTTCACCACAGTGGCTGCCTTGTGTATTTGATGCATGTGTAAGCTGTTGGATGTTCAGGGACTGCTCTCTGTTTGACTTATTTACATGGGGGTGACCCACTGCGATGAAGTTGGAACCTCAGCTTATAGCCTGATACGGGTTTAGAAAAATAAAAAAGTTAAACGTCAAGAGGATTGACTTCATTACACCAGGTTTTACCGCATACAGCTCAGTCTCTCTCTACAGAATTACTGGTCTGCCTAGAAAGCAGCACAAAACACAAACTCAGTAGCTCAGGTGATGATCCTTAGGGATCTCTGAGACCCTGAATAGAGGTTGGTCCTAAGCTCCAATGGTACAGGTACCTAATGCTTAGGATAAATTCTTACACTGTGTGTAAATTTTCATTGATAGATTACTGTTTATCTGTTGATATGTCTCATAAATGTAACCTTTTTCTTGTGGGTCCAGTAAATGATCTAGTCAACACCCACATGTCTTATTTCCTTGTGGGTCCAGTGAATGATCTAGTCAACACCCACATGTCTTATTCCCTTGTGGGTCCAGTGAATGATCTAGTCAACACCCACATGTCTTATTTCCTTGTGGGTCCAGTGAATGATCTAGTCAACACCCACATGTCTTATTCCCTTGTGGGTCCAGTGAATGATCTAGTCAACACCCACATGTCTTATTTCCTTGTGGGTCCAGTGAATGATCTAGTCAACACCCACATGTCTTATTCCTTTGTGGGTCCAGTGAATGATCTAGTCAACACCCACATGTCTTATTCCTTTGTGGGTCCAGTGAATGATCTAGTCAACACCCACATGTCTTATTCCCTTGTGGGTCCAGTGAATGATCTAGTCAACACCCACATGTCTTATTTCCTTGTGGGTCCAGTGAATGATCTAGTCAACACCCACATGTCTTATTCCTTTGTGGGTCCAGTGAATGATCTAGTCAACACCCACATGTCTTATTCCCTTGTGGGTCCAGTTAATGATCTAGTCAACACCCACATGTCTTATTTCCTTGTGGGTCCAGTGAATGATCTAGTCAACACCCACATGTCTTATTCCTTTGTGGGTCCAGTGAATGATCTAGTCAACACCCACATGTCTTATTCCCTTGTGGGTCCAGTGAATGATCTAGTCAACACCCACATGTCTTATTTCCTTGTGGGTCCAGTGAATGATCTAGTCAACACCCACATGTCTTATTCCCTTGTGGGTCCAGTAAATGATCTAGTCAACACCCACGTCTTATTCCCTTGTGGGTCCAGTGAATGATCTAGTCAACACCCATATGTCTTATTCCCTTGGAGTTTGGTTTTTTTCTCTGTCCGCATTCTCAGTATTCTTGCATATCTCTGGAGACATATAGTACACCTAGTTGAACTGCTGCATCTCTCATTCCCTCAGTTCGTTTCGTTTTCTGCCAATAATTTCTATATTTTCTTTTGCATCGCCACTGACATAGTTCACGTAACACCTGCTTCTCTCACTTCCTCAAATTGTTTCCTTTGTCCATGATTTTCTCAATATTCTACAATTTGTGGGTTATAGTTCATGTAACACCTGATTAATATCTGTGTATCTCAGTTCCTCAGAGTTTCTTCCTAGTTTGTATAATAAATTTTATTCTACACCTTCATTTAATACAAACGTTAACACATATGTATTGCTACAGTAACCAGAATTGACATAATAAATGTTAACTGTAATCTTCATATTTTCTCAAATCAGCGAAGCATAAGGCCTCAAGTGGTGACAACATTCTCCTTGTCTGGCTGCATTGACATGTGGACTGTTTACTCAGCCAAGGATTCTGTTGACACTGAAGACGATCTAGAAGGCACCAGTAAAGAGACAGAATCAGAAGAAGAACAGAATGTTGAATTTAATGGTGGCCATGATTTCTTGGTGCTTAGCCGAAGAGACTCAAGCATGGTATGATATCTGTCTTTGCTGCGATTATTTGAATTTTACCCTATTATTTTTTTTATATTTTACCCTATTTGTGTTGTCTTTGGATGTCACTGTATGAAGTGAGAGACCAGATGCTCTGACTAGCAGTGCGACTAACAGGAATAGGCCCACTATGGACAGGAGAGACATCATTAATGCCACATGAGAGACTAAACGCTGTGAAGCTTTCAGTTTCATGGAGAATGATTATTCACTGAATAAACTGCATACCCTGGGTGTACCAATTAGAGCCATGAGACAGGAAAACCATGGGGGAGCCACCCGTCGTTACATCAGCCAGAACAGAATGGGAGTCGTTAGCCTAAAAAACACTTGGATGTATACTCAGAAGGAGATCGGAACAGTTAAGGTCATGTCCGATGTGCGATAAAGATGATGGCTATCCTCTGAATAACGGTCGCAAATTATCGAGGCTGAAAATATACCCTAACAGGGCCTCAACCATGTGTCAATTGCGAACTTCCGGGGACTATACCGCCACCACCGAATTGCGAACTTCTGGGGACTATACCGCCACTGCTGAGAGTATCCCCCATGCCGCATTAGCTGGGACTCACGAGCAAATAAAATAAAGGAAGCTGCAAGAGATGCGGTAGCTGCTGCTCGTGAGTCCCAGCCATCTAGTTTAGCCCCAATCCACGCAGCGTGAGCGACGTGAGGGATACCCTCGGCGGTGGCGGAAGTCGCCGGAAGTGCGCAATTTAAGTCGCCGGAAGTGCGCAGTTGACACATGACTAAGGCCCTGTTAGGGTAAATTTTTGGCCTGGATAATTTGGGTCAGTTATTGGTAATATAGCCAAGATGATATCTGTAATGAACAATGGATGTTACTAGATTTAGTTGTGGTGAGGTTGCAGTGATATTTATGAATGGGTCACTTCTATACTGGCAGTGAACTTTCTGGTCACAAATTTAAACCCAGACGTGAAATAGAACTAGTCAGCTTCACAGTATTACCTTGAGACTCGCTTCATCGCCTCTCTGGAGAGGGACAGCATGTTTATTCAGACTAAGGGCAGGGCACAACAGACTTCGTCAACATGTATACAGACTTTTCAGTGTAGGAAGCACGGAGACATTTCCAAACATGCTGAGTATGTGCTCCAACACTGTAAAATGTAGGCTACAAACAGAGATGCAGTCTGGCATTGTTCCAACTGCAATGAAGACACAACTGGATAGTACACGAGGAGATATGGACTGCATGATAGCTTTCGTGAAGGCTACCAGCTTCCTGGTATAAGTTTTCTGACTGAAGGATCGAAGAAGAAGACAATGTCACATCACAGTCATGAATGGCAAAATAAACAGTGCAGCTAGAAAACCCACATTAGCATATGGCATACAAGGACAGTGATACAGTTACAAACAAGAATACACAAACAATACTTATCTGTAAGATGAGGTCTCTCACATAAATTTCCATAACACCTGTGAACGGTAGAAACTCTTGAGTCGTTTGTCATTGCTGGAAAGAAAAACTGGATATGAAGTGCTCCACATAGATGGAAAGGGTGATCAGATGACAAGGTGCGGTGAGGGGCAAAAGTACTTTAAAAAATAAAATAGAAACTGTGTTAGACTTTCTCAGCCTGATGTAGAGGGGCTAAATGTTCCAGTGGTTTTTATGCGACAGCTGCTAGTATATTAGCCTGATGATTAAAGTGCAGAATGCGACAGTCATGCTATATTAGTTGAAAACGCAGTACACATGTTTGCATTTCAACTGCGGGTGCCATGTTTATGGAGTTGATACAAGTAGTGATAAAATAGTTTGGCATTTGGTACCAGTTCATAAATTAATAAAAAGTTAATCTGGATTTATTTACCAACAAGGATGTCACCGTGGTGTAGCGGCTAGACGCTGGCCTGCGAATCGGAAGGTTTGAGGTTTGGGTCCTGACAGAACCGAGCTTTCTTTAAAATTGACCGTGGCTCCCACGTCAACCCAGCCTTGAGTGGGTGCCAGGTGCAGTCCTGGGAAGTAAAGGTGGCCTGGCTGATGTTGACCAAATCACCCAACAAATGCCAGTTGGTCTATAAAATATAGGCTAATCTGTATGCCCAGTTCGCCTAAAGGCATGGAAAATGGTCCTTTATTTTACTGACTTTTTATTTACCAAAGAATACGCTTATAAAAAAATGTTCCTGCAATACTTGCTGAGTCTAAGGAGGCTGAATAAATAAAAATATCATTGATATTTAAGGCTGTATAAATAGGTATGTTGGTAACTTCCAGTAAAGATCCTTTTTTCACGCCTTTGGCGCATTGGGCATATGGGAAAAGCATCCCATATTTTCCCAGATGAATCTACGCCGGCCGGCCGTCTTTACTTTACCAGCACAGCCATCCTGGTACCCGTTTTAGGCTGAGTCAGCCTGCGAAGCCCTATACCATGATAAAATCCACGCAGCCAGCTGTGCTAACTTCCGATGCCTTCAGGTAATATCAGTTGCTATTGTCCCTGCTTTATTTTTTATAGTCCTTGCCATGAAATGTTGGTCATCATGTATATCCCCGGCCTTCTGTCTCATGTATTGCCATATATTTTTGATACAGATGATTCTCCATGCCATGATCTCAAACATTTCTTGGCCTCTCTTGGTCTTGCTCTATTTCTCGTACGCTCCAGCTTTTCTCATGTCACAACATACTCTTTTGTTTTTTATTGTGTGCCCAGAGAATAGAGGTTGGTGTCTGCTTTGGCAGTCAACTCTCTTTATAAGTTTCTATCAAAACATCCTCATGACATTTTATATCCCTCCAGTTTTCTAAAAATTCTTCAGTAAAACCATTTGCCTGCAGTGTCGACACAATTTCTGACTAATAAACTTCCAAATATTACATCCGAACATCAAGACTGAACCATTAAACTCTTAAAACCTCTTTTCTTTATGGAAATATTTATATTTCAATATGGTTGATGACACAGGTGTTGCAGACAGGAAGTGAAATCAATGAGCTGGATCACAGTGGTTTCAGCACACAGACCAGCACAGTTTATGTGGGCAACATTGGGAACAAGAGATACATCTTGCAAGTGTGCCCTGCATCAATGAGGCTGCTCAAGGGAAGTAAGTTACCATGGTTGCAAACTGTGTTATTTTGTTTCTGGAATATGTTGTTAATTCTTGTGGATTTCATTCAGTCTTTTTGACTGCCCCAGTTGGTTTGTGTTGTGAACTGCAGAGGTGACCCAACCTTATTAAACCATCACAAGTATATGCGACTCAACCAACCTCTTTAAACCATCACAAGTATGTGTGACTCAACCAACTTCTTTAAACCATCACAAGTATGTGTGACTCAACCAACCTCTTTAAACCGTCATAAGTATATGTGACTCAACCTCTTTAAACCGTCACAAGTATATGTGGCAGTCTCATTAGAACATCACAGTTAAATGTGACCCACAACATAATTATATCATCACCTGGTATATGTGTCCCAACATAATTAAACCATCACAGGTTAATTGTCTGGCAAATATAAAACAGACTTAGCATACTCTGCAGTTGAACTGTAGAACAGTGTTCCACAACAAATCAAAGATGCTATCTCTGCCTGTAGATTCAGCTAGAAAGTATTTGACTACATGCCTCCTTAAAAGATAATAGTGTATTATACAGCATTTTTGTTCTTCAGTGTTTGACAAAAATATTGATTTTTCAAATCGTTCATTTTTGTAAAGTTTAGCATTTATAGAATGATTACACACATAATTTATGTCACTTGTAAGCAATTTAGCATTAGAAAGTTCGTAATAAAGACCACACCCTATGAATATTTGTAAGAGAAAATAAGGTTTTTGTCAAAAAAAAAAAAAAAAAAAAGCAATGTTTGACACATAGCAACCGTTTTTTCCTAATGATTTACTAGGACATATTATATATCATTGTAAAGGCCATTCCAAGTACTGTTCAGGTTTTTTTTAAACACAAAAGCAAAATCAAGCTTTGCCTGGTAAATTAGAAACTTGAGAAAGTACTGACCATACCAATATTTCATTGGCCACATTTGATTGGTCCCTAGAGATTTTCTTTGCGATGAATATATTATGCGTGCGCAAAGCATGGATCCTATCCAAAAAAGTGGTCTTGTTTACCTTTCTTGATTTACACACTAATGTTTTCAATTTTAGTGAAAATCTTCTAATAAGCGCCTAATTATGACCAAAAAGAAAAAGATACAGCTTTGGACAAAAGAAGAAACATAAAAATCGTGAGAAATTCATGTAAGGAAGCTTTGCAAATCATTGTGGACCCCCCATCTCTCCCCTTTTTCAATAATACACATTTTTTTTAAAACTTGAATTTTAAAATTGTTTAAAAAAAATATAGACAGTCAGTTGTAAATTTAAAAAAAAAACCAAACAAAAAAGAAACACTTGTGCATTGCTGCAAAGAATGATTAAAGTTCAGGATTCAGTAATTTAATTCTCAAAAAGTATGATAATTTTTTTGTTTTTCCAAATATGAAGTGTAAAACTGTATTAACACATATCCCTGTGTGGATTCTGGGGCGCTATTATAGGGAAAACAAAAATAGACCCACTGCCTACTGCTGTGAAGCGATATGAAGGGGTGTGTATCATTTCCTAACCAAGTGTCTAAAGGTGGACTGATTATGCCTCCCTCGTGTATGCCAAAGTTCCTCCCCAAGCCAACCTCCTAGCAACTAATGGGGCTCCCTGCCTGGAAGTACTAGGTTAGCAGTTCTCATTGTCATATCTTGCTACTTACACCAATAACAGTCCGCATCAACAAAACGGGAAGAGTCATTACTTTAATTGTGCATCAGTCTATTTATTGGGACGCAACACAGTATAACAATGAACATGAACTGGTGATACAGGAAGACTGTCCATCTAATGCTCCGCCTATACACCATGATAGGCTTCCAAGGCAGTGTCACATGAAAGGGAACACCTAGCCTCGACTCGGCGTGAGTCCAGAACATACGCCTTCGGCCTATGGGCCCACACCTGGGGTCACCAGTAGCCTTTTTATAACTCATAAAAGGTGTTGTCGACATCTCGAGCTGTTGTCTTGTTTCACTAGTGATCCTACACTTACCTGTGTCGTCACCCAAGACAGATTATGCTCTTCCTGCGAGCAGTCTGTAGTGGATGAGTCAACTACACTCTCGACTGTCCTTTAGCAGTCTCTAGCGGGTGCGTCAACTACACTCTCGACTGTCCTTTAGCAGTCTCTAGCGGGTGTGTCAACTACACTCTCGACTGTCCTCTAGCGAGTGCTCAAACTAGTCAGCGGTTCGATCCTAAGAAATGTTGAGCCCTCCATGCCTTGTCTCCACAAAATCCGCACAACGGGAACATTTTGACTCATACACCAAATTCTAATGCACAAGATAAACTTCCTCCGAACTAAAATGATACACATAATTACTGAAAAAAATTCACAGACATCTGAACATGCGTCCGCCCGATCGGACTGGCTGAGAGGCACTGACTTGACACCCATGGCCAACCTTCAGCTTAATGCTCCGGCTCCCACATGGTTCTTGTTAAGCGCTTGCAGACCACTGTTAGTCGTGAATCTCCAGAAACACCTCTTTCACGACTGGGTGCACATTGTGGACCTTTACACTTGTCTCTCACCTCAAGCCACATGGACTTCTTTTGCCCATGTCTCTGTTACCATCATCATCCTTTTCTATTACGACTGGCGTAGGCGATCACGCCTCTGACCAGCCCAGTGAATTTAGCACGCAAAACCTCCCCAAAAGCATGTCCTAAGAGTTGACTGGGAGCTTCCTTCCAAGTCAAAGTGCATCTGCCTGAGAGGCAAGGAACCACGTCTGCACACAAATGAGTCAGATCTGTTAAACAGATGCACACGCAACACTCAGGTTCTGAAACAGGACTGCAGTCCAAAAGTGGACGAACAACCAGAACTTTCCGCAAGAGTTTACAGCCGGTGAAAGCTAAGAAGAAGAAGAAGTTCAAAGCAATATTTTCCTGTAAAGAATTTAAATAATGCGGACACAAACAATACATTGCACAATTTATTGCCAGGCATATTTTGCTGTATCTCGTCAGGTTCGTTACTACAGAGTTACATCAACATAAAATAAAGCACAAAACTGAATAAATCCAACTGAAATGCGAATAGTTTCTTCCGACACAATGTGTGTGGCCGCCAGAAGCTCACTGTAGTCACATGACTTACCAGGGTAACTTCAAATTTACGATAAATTCCGTCTGCTTACAAAGGAGGGAATTGTTGATTTTTATTGTTAAAGCTTCGGTGATTCTCAAAAGTCTCCTGTTCGGAGTGTGGTAAACCACACGGAAAGCACTTCTGTGTCAATTATGTGTCCGGAATTAAGTAGATGACGTCCTATGGAAGAAGCGGGTTCTTTCCTCTTGACTGGTCTCGACACCCTAGAACAATCACTGAATTGTGTATGTAGCTATTTGGGTATGTGCTCTGCCACTCTTATTTCCAAGCTGTCTCTCCGTTCGACCGATTTAAGTCAACTGGCACTTCCATGTAAATTGGTAAATATAATTAGATTTGGTGTACGGAGAAACAAGTGTTTAATAGGTGGGGTTGGGATCGGAGTGGTCTTGTACCTCACTACTGGAACAGCCGCAAAGAATGTTTGGCCAGCTGCTGTTTTCAGTCTGTCCTGCCGACGCTGCATGACGTCATCGCCGCGATAAGTAAGTGGGATATATACTCATAGTTTGGATACTGTAATTTCGTTCGAGGTAGGGTTGGGTGGGGTGCAGTGATGTTTACCCTATAGGGTACCCATTCAGAAGTAAAGTTGAATTAAGAGTTTTAAGTATTAGCACATATTAAAAATTACCATTATAAAATAATTAGCCTAACATTCTGAATTCTTTTTTCTGACCTCTTAAGCCTTCGGTAAATGTCGTATTTTTAAATTTTTTATACAAATAATTATGATTATACATTAAAATAGGTGTAATTTTTAGTTAACAATTTGATGTTGATGATTTTTACTATTATATGTTAAAAAATTTATAAATGAAACATTTATTATAATAATACTTATTATTATACATTACAATAGGGATAATTTTTGGTTAACAATTTGTTGATGATTTTTACTATTATATGTTAAAAAATATATAAATGAAAGGTGTGAAAGGAGTGAGGTCAGAACATTAGACCTGTCTGCATGTCCATTTCTTGATCATTTGAAAATAAAGTTTATTTGATCATTGCTCCATTCAATTGTATCCTGTAACCATATATAAATAATGAAAATGCTGAAAATCAAAGATATAGCTGATAAAGATGTTAGGGCTAAAAAATAGGCCTGGTAGCATCAATTTTTCTATGTTGTCACCTACGGCTTTGGGGTTGGGAACACAGCTTCATAATGTCATCATTCCTGATTTGATTGAGCTGCAGGTGATTTTGCAGGACACCACTTTGTATTGATTTCAACAATAGTATCAGAGTTAAGTGTTCTTTCTTCTTCTTCTTTGCAATCAGTTTCATTTGCTCATTTTTATCACTTGTGCTGCCTCCTTAAACTGGATGTCAGCAGTAAGCCTCTAAGGGTTCCTCAAAGTGTGTCATGGACACCTCTTCCTTTTGGCTGTGTGTTTTCTTACAGGATTTGCTGTAGGGGGGCAGTTCTGTTGTATGTGCTCAGGTGTTTGGAGAGTGCTGAGGTTGTTTTGTGATTTCCTGTAAAGGATATGCAACCCTCTGCATCTTGTGAGGTGCATAAATACATAGTTGCGTCAACATACAATGAAGTAGAAAACATAATTCCTTTTAGCTTAAACACACAAATCACATAAAAACATCCCCTTCTAGCATGTGGGACCCCATTTGGGGGAGGGGAATGGAAGAGACCCCCCCCCCCCCCCCCCCCCAACAAGTTTGTTGTAAAAAATGGACTAATGAGGGACTTTGCCTTCAAAGTCAGAGTGCCTAAGAGACAAGGAACCAACAATCTGCATGCAAATATGGAAATAAGGTAGATTTGTAAAACATTTATGCAAAACTCAAGTTCTGGAACCAGACTGAAGTCCATATTTAGATGAACAACCAGAACTTTCATTTAGAGTTTACAGCTGGTAAATATGAAGAAGACATACAAACATTTATGTGAATTTGTAATGTAACATACCTTGTACAATTTCAAGTTATTTGTAAATTTAAAATTTACTCCCTACATTTTTTAAAAATATGATCAGATTTTCACTATGGACGGTTTTCATTATTTATCAAGCATCTGAAATATGCAGGCGTTGCGAGTCTGACCCGTAATCCAACGTGCCGCGATCGAAACCTGCGAGGGCTTCGTGGATTTTTACCGGGGTATGGGACGTCGCAGGTCGACCCAGCCTCAAATGGGTACCAGAATGGGCTGTCCTGTGAAAGTAAAGACGGCTGGCGTAATGCTGACCACATTACCCACCGAGTGCCGATTGGTCTGTAAAAATATGGGTGCTCTTCCCATATGCCCGATTCGCCTAAGGGCGTGTAAAGGGATCTTTACTCTTTTTTTTTTAAATCTGAAATATGAGTGAATTGCATTGCCACTTTTTTTCAAAATTCCAGATGGTTTTGCATACATTTTCAAGGGACACAATAACAACTACAAAAAATTGCAAGTGTATAACTTTCATTGGGCAAACTGCACAGTGACTGGAAGCAACTATGTAGGAAGCCAGATTTCACTAGCATTCTCTGACCAGATGTGAACAGTGAAAGAACACAATATGTGATTGTTGAAATTCACTGAAAAGAGACGTTGCCACATTCAGCTTTTGCTTGGGACTCAAATAGTTAAGTCTACATTTTAATGAAATCTGGTCATACAAGCAAACCTATTATTTATATGCTAAGTAGTGTATAAGTCATTAAACAAATCTGTGTGCCACCTATGCAATGAAAGTTGGCTGCAGGGCACCCACGACTATCTTGAGGAATCTGAGACAAAGCCCTCAACTGTTCTACTATGCGTCTCTGGTACCACTGTACAAATACCATGAGAAACCCCTGTCTGCAGTGAGAATTTAAACCCTTGACCCATTAGGATCATGGGAGCACTAGTACACAAAACCCTGGTATACTAAGAACAAAACTAATGTACTTTTGTTTGCATTCATAGTCAAACAAATTCAGCATATTCCTGTTGATCTGGGCTCATCAATACAAAGCTGTTCAGTTTGCGACCCTTATGTGGTCATACTGGGAGCAGAAGGGCAGATGATGATGTTCGTTCTCAAGGATGACAGCTTGGTAGGAGAAGCTAGGCTGTCTGCCTGCAAGATACCACTTGTTCAGGTAAGTCTGTTGTTAGACTGTCCTTGAATGCAGATGAACATGTCATTGGTAACTAAACAACCAGAATATAGGGAGAATTAATTTTAACCTGCATAAGCTGACACTTTGATCTTCTTTTTTTCAGCATTATAAGCCCGTGATGTTCATTGCTACAGATATCATTCATCTCTGTTATTGACCTACTCTTTCCAGTTTATGACTCTGAGTGTTGGTATGTCTGCCTTTGTGTTAAATTTCCACTGTCTTCATGGTATTCCCTGTGGGGTTCTCCCATTCAGCTCTTTCTGTACCCAGTTTTAGTCTCTGTTATCTGTCATTCTCTCCAAATATCCTAAGCATTACAGCTTATTAGCTCTCATGATGCCAGTAGTAAGTGGTGATTTAACCAGATTATGAATTTTATTGTTACTTCTCACTCAGTGTTCTCCACTATCATCATTATTTTAATGGGTCCAAGGCAAAGCTTTTAAAACTGTGTTATGGCACATTAGTGTATTGGCTCTAGTTTGAAAGTGTGTCTTGCGTACATAGTGCAATAAACAATTTAAATAGGTGCGAACAGAAAGCATTAAATAATTTACAAATGTGTCTTGATCTCTGAATAGGTGTTAGTTCAATCTCTGGTTGCTGGTAGACTGAATTACTGGGTCTTAAAACTATGTTTATCCAAAAAGTGTGATACCAGCATGAACAGTTTAGAAAGCTCTGGTCTAAGAAATTGTGATAAAGACTACACTTTCATAGATACACGCTGTTATTATAAGTGACAATCTTTACTGTATACAAGAAACAGCATTTTTTTTTTAATTGAAAAAAAAAATGTATCCTTAACCAGAACCAAACCCAGCATTTTTATTTTCCTGTTTATGAGTTTAGTACATACTTTAACATTCGGTAGTTTGCTGTTGCTTTTTGGATGATCAGCTCTCGATACCACCGTCGAAACCAACACAAGGCAGTTTGCTGCCAAATATCCTTCACCTGGGTTTGAACCCAGCACGTCAGCATTAGGAAACACCCTTTCTACATCCCAGCCACAGATGCATTTCTTTGAATACACACTGTTGAAGAATTTTTTTTATGTTGGTTATATTGGTTACCCTTACATTCATTCATGTAACATTACTTGTTTAAGTGAAGGTACATTTTAAGCCTGATAATTTCTGTTTTTTTATAACCACATTACATGTTGAAAACTGTCCATCTAGCCAGATCATCCTAGAAAGATAAATACAATTCTTTTACTATTCATTTTTGTTGGGCCTGCATCCACAGAATCCACGCATCCTTGCAGTGACCACATACAATGATTACAGTGGCCTGTTTACTACAGAACCTCCCAAATCAGAGTCAACAGCTCCAAAGACAGAGAGATTCAAGTCTGCAGAGAAAGCGCCGGCATTTCAGCCAGAGTATGTACATTGTAATGAATCCTCTTCTTCCTCTCTTCCTCTGTTACCACTTTCAGTGTTGAAAGAGATACAGGTTACGAGTTGTCACTCTTCTGGCTACCTCAGCTGTAGATACGACTAGGTACCATTGTAAACTATTACAACGAATAAATCTAATAATGAACTTATATTTCCAATCCTGAAAACCAAGTTTGATTTCACTGACATATGATTTTTTTTCTTTCCCAGTAGCAATTTTCATAAAATGTAAAATCCATATGAAGTATTTAAGCTTTCAGGACTGAAGATGAAATATATTATATAAGTGGGTAGAAATTCATAATACTTATCAAAGATGCAGTACAATGGAAGCTGTCAGAGCAGCAGAGCATTTCGGGAAATCAAATAATTACAATAAATACCAAACTTAATATTTTCAACTCAAAAATTTAAGCTAGCATTTCTTTGTGGAACAGAAATATCACACTTCAGTTACTTTCTAATGTCTGGAGAATTGTATCGAATTGTATCCTTAAGTTAACTGTATGAACCTCTACCATTTCGGCAGACTTGTGAATATACATGTGGGATCCATGCAGTTGATGTGGAGCACTTAGACTGAGTTGAATGTGATCAGTAGAACAAAGCACTAAAAGATTGTTTCACAGTGCGATAAAGTTGATTCCAGTGAATCAGTCAAAGATTGTTTCACAGTGTGATAAAGTTGATTTCAGTGAATCAGTCAAAGATTGTTTCACAGTGCGATAAAGTTGATTTCAGTGAATCAGTCAAAGATTGTTTCACAGTGCGATAAAGTTGATTTCAGTGAATCAGTCAAAGATTGTTTCACAGTGCGATAAAGTTGATTTCAGTGAATCAGTCAAAGATTGTTTCACAGTGCGATAAAGTTGATTTCAGTGAATCAGTCAAAGATTGTTTCACAGTGTGATAAAGTTGATTCCAGTGAATTAGTCAAAGAATGTTTCACAGTGCAATAAAGTTGATTCCAGTGAATTAGTCAAAGATTGTTTCACAGTGTGATAAAGTTGATTCCAGTGAATCAGTCAGAACTTGCTAATCGTCTTCTTTCATTCATTTCTTAACAGTCAATAATTTATAATAATGTTTAGAAAATAAAGTTTGTTGAGGTATGTTTAGTTATATATAATTTTTAATCTGTATGTGAGTGTTTATATACATGTTTGTATATTTATATGTTTATATATTTATTTGTTTATATATTTGTATGTTTAAATATGAGTGTGTTTGTATATTTATTTGTTAATATATTTGTTTGTATTTCTATATTTGTGTGGTTACACATTTGTGTGTTTATATATTTCTGTGGTTACATTCTTGTGTGTTTTTATGTGCTTATAAATGTCTTCATTTATAGGCTTAGATGTTTATACATTGTATGTTTATACACTTGTATGCTTGTATATTTGTTTGTTTATATATTTGTATGTTTATATATTCGTGTGTTTATATATTTATGTTTTTATTAATTTTTTTGTGTGTATTTATATATTTGTGTGTTCATTTATGTTTTTATTCATAAATTTATATGCTTTTTTTTGTTTTTATTCATATATTTATATGTTTATTTGATTTTTTCTTAATATAATTTTTTTAAATACTGGTTTGTTTATATGCTTGTTTGCTGTCATATCTTCTGACAGGGAAGACACTGATGATGAAGATGAGATGTTATATGGTGAAACTTCTATTGTTACAGAACCAGAGAAGAAAAATATGGATTCTAACAAGTATGCATTGTTCTTTTTTTCCTCTCTGAATAACAGTAACTGTATTCATTGTCCTTTCTTTTCAGTTAACAGTAACTGAATGCATGTTTCTTTTTTTAAATAACAATAACCGTATGGATTTACAAATTTTTTTATTTCTTTGAATAACAAATAACAGTAAACTTGTGTTGCTGAAATATTCTTAGTGTCATGCCAAAATCAGCCCTTACAAATCTAGGACAATGGGCTTAACTACTTGCCACAAAGACCCCCCCCCCCCCCCCCCTCCTGTGTTTTTGTCCTTATAGACCAGTGTTCAGTCTGCAGTGACAAAATGTTTGACAGTTAAAGGCTATGTTTGGCTATCTCATGTACAGTATGACAGTCAAAGGCTATGTTTGGCTATCTCATGTACATGTGTGACAGTTAAAGGCTATGTTTGGCTATCTCATGTACATGTGTGACAGTAAAAGGCCATGTTTGGCTATCTCATGTACATGTGTGACAGTTAAAGGCTATGTTTGGCTATCTCATGTACAGTATGACAGTCAAAGGCTATGTTTGGCTCTCTCATGTACATGTGTGACAGTTAAAGGCTATTTTTGGTTATCTCATGTACAGTATGACAGTCAAAGGCTATGTTTGGCTATCTCATGTACAGTATGACAGTCAAAGGCTATGTTTGGCTATCTCATGTACAGTATGACAGTCAAAGGCTATGTTTGGCTATCTCATGTACAGTATGACAGTCAAAGGCTATGTTTGGCTATCTCATGTACAGTATGACAGTCAAAGGCTATGTTTGGCTATCTCATGTACAGTATGATTGTCAAAGGCTATGTTTGGCTATCTCATGTACAGTATGACAGTCAAAGGCTATGTTTGGCTATCTCATGTACAGTATGACAGTCAAAGGCTATGTTTGGCTATCTCATGTACAGTATGACAGTCAAAGGCTATGTTTGGCTATCTCATGTACAGTATGACAGTCAAAGGCTATGTTTGGCTATCTCATGTACAGTATGACAGTCATAGGCTATGTTTGGCTATCTCATGTACAGTATGACAGTCAAAGGCTATGTTTGACTATCTCATGTACATGTGTGACAGTTAAAGGCTATTTTTGGCTATCTCATGTACAGTATGACAGTCAAAGGCTATGTTTGGCTCTCTCATGTACATGTGTGACAGTTAAAGGCTATGTTTGGTTATCTCATGTACATGTGTGACAGTTAAAGGCTATGTTTGGTTATCTCATGTACAGTATGACAGTTAAAGGCTATGTTTGGTTATCTCATGTACATGTGTGACAGTAAAAGGTCATGTTTGGTTATCTCATGTACATGTGTAACAGTAAAAGACTATGTTTGGTTATCTCATGTACAGTATGACAGTCAAAGGCTATGTTTGGCTCTCTCATGTACATGTGTGACAGTTAAAGGCTATGTTTGGTTATCTCATGTACAGTATGACAGTTAAAGGCTATGTTTGGCTATCTCATATACAGTATGACAGTTAAAGGCTATGTTTGGCTATCTCATGTACAGTATGACAGTCAAAGGCTATGTTTGGCTATCTTATGTACATGTGTGACAGTAAAAGGCCATGTTTGGTTATCTCATGTACATGTGTAACAGTAAAAGACTGTGTTTGGTTATCTCATGTACATGTGTGACAGTTAAAGGCTATTTTTGGCTATCTCATGTACAGTATGACAGTTAAAGGCTATGTTTGGTTATCTCATGTACAGTATGACAGTTAAAGGCTATGTTTGGCTATCTCATATACAGTATGACAGTTAAAGGCTATGTTTGGCTATCTCATATACAGTATGACAGTTAAAGGCTATGTTTGGCTATCTCATGTACAGTATGACAGTCAAAGGCTATGTTTGGCTATCTCATGTACATGTGTGACAGTAAAAGGCCATGTTTGGTTATCTCATGTACATGTGTGACAGTCAAAGGCTATGTTTGGTTATCTCATGTACATGTGTGACAGTTAAAGGCTATGTTTGGTTATCTCATGTACAGTATGACAGTTAAAGGCTATGTTTGGCTATCTCATATACAGTATGACAGTTAAAGGCTATATTTGGCTATCTCATGTACAGTATGACAGTCAAAGGCTATGTTTGGCTATCTCATGTACATGTGTGACAGTAAAAGGCCATGTTTGGTTATCTCATGTACATGTGTAACAGTAAAAGACTATGTTTGGTTATCTCATGTACATGTGTGACAGTTAAAGGCTATGTTTGGCTATCTCATGTACAGTATGACAGTCAAAGGCTATGTTTGGCTCTCTCATGTACAGTATGACAGTTAAAGGCTATGTTTGGTTATCTCATATACAGTATGACAGTTAAAGGCTATGTTTGGCTATCTCATGTACAGTATGACAGTCAAAGGCTATGTTTGGTTATCTCATGTACAGTATGACAGTTAAAGGCTATGTTTGGTTATCTCATGTACAGTATGACAGTCAAAGGCTATGTTTGGCTCTCTCATGTACAGTATGACAGTTAAAGGCTATGTTTGGCTCTCTCTTGTACAGTATGACAGTTAAAGGCTATGTTTGGCTCTCTCTTGTACAGTATGACAGTTAAAGGCTATGTTTGGCTCTCTCTTGTACAGTATGACAGTTAAAGGCTATGTTTGGCTCTCTCATGTACAGTATGACAGTTAAAGGCTATGTTTGGTTATCTCATATACAGTATGACAGTTAAAGGCTATGTTTGGTTATCTCATGTACAGTATGACAGTTAAAGGCTATGTTTGGTTATCTCATGTACAGTATGACAGTTAAAGGCTATGTTTGGCTATCTCATAACAGTATGACAGTCAAAGGCTATGTTTGGCTCTCTCATGTACAGTATGACAGTTAAAGGCTATGTTTGGTTATCTCATGTACAGTATGACAGTTAAAGGCTTTGTTTGGCTATCTCAAATACAGTATGACAGTTAAAGGCTATGTTTGGCTATCTCATGTACAGTATGACAGTCAAAGGCTATGTTTGGCTATCTCATGTACAGTATGACAGTCAAAGGCTATGTTTGGCTATCTCATGTACATGTGTGACAGTTAAAGGCTATTTTTGGTTATCTCATGTACAGTATGACAGTTAAAGGCTATGTTTGGCTATCTCATATACAGTATGACAGTTAAAGGCTATGTTTGGCTATCTCATATACAGTATGATAGTCAAAGGCTATGTTTGGCTATCTCATGTGCATGTGTAACAGTAAAAGACTATGTTTGGTTATCTCATGTACAGTATGACAGTCAAAGGCTATGTTTGGCTATCTCATATACAGTATGACAGTTAAAGGCTATGTTTGGCTATCTCATGTACAGTATGACAGTTAAAGGCTATGTTTGGCTATCTCATGTACAGTATGACAGTTAAAGGCTATGTTTGGCTATCTCATATACAGTATGACAGTCAAAGGCTATGTTTGGCTATCTCATATACAGTATGACAGTCAAAGGCTGTGTTTGGCTATCTCATGTACAGTATGACAGTCAAAGGCTATGTTTGGCAATCTCATGTACATTATGACAGTCAAAGGCTATGTTTGGCTATCTCATGTACATGTGCACAGATTTGATGGAATCAATCTCAATGGGTTGATGGAACCAACTTCAGTCTGTTTCCTTCTGTTCCATTGTGATGTTGTCTTTATTTTCTATATAACCCTTGTTTCTATAATTCTTATACAAAGTATATTTTTATAGTTTGTGTCTTTCATGTTTTGGAAGCATAGCAGTCAAAGTTTTGCTTATGCAAATTCCCCATTTCTAGACAGGGAATTCAAAGGTTCCGTCACCCAGCCACTGAGTTGAGTGCTTGCTGCGACACTGCTCTGTAGCTCATGTGGAATTTTCTTCTGTTGTGCCTGTGGCATGCTGCTGACTGGCAGGTAGCTGAATACTTTCAGAATGGCATGTACTTTTGCAGATGCAATGGCTTTCATGTTTGATCATTTGTGCCAATAGTGAGCTGCAGTTCTACTGTGGAACCATTAATGTTGGCACATCTGGCAGTTGCCTTATGCATTTTTACCTTGGAAGTGCAAGCTTCAAGATTTTGCTTGGACCGGCAAGTTTTTCAAATGAGACAGTGAAGGATATTTCATGGGACTTTCACTGGCACAGGAATGAAGCAGCCAGGGGGTGACCAATCTGCAGTGATGGAACCTTGACTAATGACTGACAATCAGATATCTAAGTATTTAGAGTTCAAGTGTCAGTCTGGATATTTTATTATCTTCCCTCTGTTTCTTAGAGCCACTGTGGCATAGTGGATCGTGTCCTTGACTGCCAGCCTGGCCTGGGTTCAGACCTTAGAAGTGACTAGTTCTCCCCCCCCCCCCCCCCCCGTCCCTTCCAGAACAGTACAGCTGGTAGACCCAGCCTCATAAAAATGAAAACATTTCAAGAAAGGGAATCTGTCACCACACCTCATTGTTGTGGCCTAGAATGTGTGAAAGCTCATAACTTCAATCCAAATGGCAGTATCTGCTATGGGACTGCCATATTTTTACCCACTTTTTGATATTGATGATATTTGCACTCTAAGAGATATTCTTCAATCTTCCTCAGAACCTCAACAAATAGAAGAGAGATTAAAAAAACCTCATGGATGCTGTTATGTAGAGAGAATGGACAGCTGGAGGTCAGTACAATTTAGGTGGTTAAAATTCTGTAACTTGTGATTCAATGTACTTTTGAGAAAAAAAAAAAGTTTGTTTCACCAGAATTTGCTGACTGATATTTTCCTTTCCTGGCTACTACCTGAAGGTTTCACACCCTGAGATTTACAGAATCTCAATCTGGACTACAGACCGACAGGGGACATCATTGTTTTTCAGCAAGTTTAGATCTCTGCTGAATCATATAGGAAGCTAATCAAGCAAACTGCTCTAGTTGATCCCAGGCCTCTGCAACATTATGGAAAATGAAGCCGCAAACTACTTATCAAAAACTGGAAGCTATACAGAACAACCAGATACACAATGTCCCCATGTGGGTTCCGGGGCCCTATTATAGGGAAAACAAGAATAGACCCACTGCCTACCCAAAAGCATATTGTAAGAGTAGATTAATTGGGAACTTTTTTTCGTCAGAGTATATCTGCCTGAGAGGCAAATGCAGTGACTGTTCTTTATCACTCTGGCTCTAGTCACTGCAGACTCCTCTTTTCACACATCGACATCAACACGACGAGTAGAAATGGAGGACAGCGAACAACACAATGCGGTTTCACACTTGATTCTTTACTCGCTGTTTCCTCAGAAATAGGACAGGTGGTCTAGGACTTGATATCTAAGGTTGATGCAAACTAATGTCAACATTACCTTCACTCATCGAAACACATCCGCCCATTCTAAAATCACACTGTAGCACGCACAACTTTCTCCTTGTCGGTGACAAACACTAATCAGGTGGCAGACGAAGTTCCCGTCAATCCTTTGCTGTTTGGCCAGGTAAGGCATTTGAAACGACATTCAGACTCAGACACATTCTGGATCCACAAGCACTCCTCCGTTCTTCATGCACTCAGTTTCTTGGCCCAAACGAGACTGCCCACATGCTCTTCCTAAGGCATTATATAACCTTTTAACGCCCACATTACAATTACGACTTTTTCATGTTCTCTGATTCACACGGGTTTTCATTTGCCCAACATTTTGTCCGTGATGAACGGCTCTGCCCTTATTACATTTAAATATCTCATTCATATTTATTAGCTGACGTCATTCCGTCTGGAACATAACTTATCAAGGAGAAAATGGTTCACTTCAGCAAGGAACCACCAGTCTGCATACAAATGAGTCAGATCTGTAAGATGGATGCACAACCAACACTCAGGTTCTGGAACAGGACTGCTGTCCAGAAGTGATGAACAACCAGAACTTTCCGCCAGAGTTTAAAGCTGTTGAACGCGAAGAAGATACACAATGCGCTTGTGAGACAAATAAAATCCATATCAAGACAGCTATTAGAACAGACTGGGGCCCTTCCCATCCAAGACACAATCATAAAGGTCAAATCTACCTCATCGCTTGAAAGGAACAGACCATTTTGTTTAGACCACAAACTGGACACAAAAGAATCTGCAGCCATATGTACCAGAAATTCAAGACTGGGGATTCAGAACTTTGTCTACGTGGACAGGCACCACAGAATACAGAACATGTACTTCCGAAATGCTGTCTACATGCAGTAGAGAGGTGCCAGATCTGGCCATTTGGCTTTTTGGTAGAAACCAATATGGAGAATATGCACAACACCACAACCTTCATAGAGGACTGTGGCCTTCTGATTAGAACACCACTGGCAGGGAGAATGAAAAGAAGAAAATAATGCTTTTGTTCATCTACTAAAGAAGACTAACCAGCACCAGGATGTTTACTTCAGTGTAAGTAGTATTAGGTTTTAAACATGCCTGCGAAAAATCAGGCTTACTTGTTTGGTAAAGCAAGTGGCGATAACTTGTTTGAAACAGGTCACAGGGAGATAACTGCATGATCTTGGCAGTATTAAAGCGCTTGTTTGTCATGTTTGGTGAGTTAATAATGTTGATGTCTTTTTTTATTTTGACCACCAAATTCAAATGATATTGACCACATGTTCATATGATGTCATTTCCATTTTCACTATCAAAACAAAAACAAACTCCCCCCCCCTTCCCAAAGATTTCTGCTCATGTTTATTTTTAGCTAGCATTTACATTCAGATGATGCTTGATGCAATAATTTAGCTGAATGAAAATCCTGGACCTATTTTCAGATTTACAGTCTGCCTGAGTGCAAGCTTGTGTTCTCTGTGAAAAGCTTCCCGCTGGGCCAGAGAACACTAGTGGACAGTGGTCCACTCTTCGATACTCTTAAAGTTGGGTAAGTTCAGTTAAAATAGCACTTGCTGCCGACTGATATGGTTTTCAGTTAGTCTGTTTTGACCTCTGTGGATTAATCTCTATACAGATAAACAACACATTAGAAGTTAGAATTATCTTAAGTTATTTAAACTCAGCCTTGAAACCTGGACAGTGAAGAGACATATAGAAAGTCAGATTTTAAACACCATATTTGAGAAAAACTGGAAATAGAGAGATTGAGGAAATGAGGACGTACATGAGAAATTCTGAGATGAGAGTTGACAAGAAAGGTCAGAAGTGCTAGACTTGACTCCATCCATGATATCTAGGTGATTGCACAAGATAGAATGGAATAGAGTAAAGACCCTTTGTGACATAACGGCACAACAGGGTTATGAAAGAATGAATGTATTGGAGAAAAAAGTGGAAGGTGAGCGAGCTTTTGAGCCCAATGGTTACCTATTTAAATCTCCCTTGAGGTTAGGATGAAAAAAAAAATGATTTGGCTCTAGGATTGATCCAGTCTGAAATAGGTATTAGGAAATGTTCTGGATAGTAAAGGTGGCCAACATGGTAGTGTACACATCACCCATCAAGTGATAGTATTTCTATTATGGCATAAAGCAAGGAAAAGGGTTCTTTATTATTAAACTAAAATATATAAATATAGTCCTATAGGAGATACACTGAATTCATAAGGAATGAAAATTTAAGATAAATATCTGGGTGATCACTATTATCACCAGTTACAAGACTGAGACAGTGGCGCTAAATTGGACACATTGGGAGAAGAGACTAACAGAATCACCAGACAAGCACCGAAATGGGAAACAGATGGATTGAAGAAATGAGGATGTCCACGAGAAACCTGAGGGCATATGCTGGGGAGAGAGGCCAAAAGTTCTTGACTGGATTTCATGCTGGGGAGAGAGACCAAAAGTACTGGACTGGATTTCATGCTGGGGAGAGAGGTCAAAAGTACTGAACTGGATTTCATGCTGGGGAGAGAGGCCAAAAGTACTGGACTGGATTTCATGCTGGGGAGAGAGGTCAAAAGTACTGAACTAGATTTCATGCTGGGGAGAGAGGCCAAAAGTACTGGACTGAATTTCATGCTGGGGAGAGAGGCCAAAAGTACTTGGCCATGATATCAAAGGGATTGCACAGCATAGAATGAATGGAGAAATAGACTGCGAGCCCTGTGTAACATTATGGGCACAATAGGACAATGATGATGATAGGAGATACTGCTGTTATAGTGTGAAGTGCTAGACTTTCACATGTTCTAGGCCATACACAAGGTGTCATGACTAGTTCCTTTCCTTATCACCTTCACTTCTCTAAAATTTCCTATAAATTTGCTGAGTACCCATTTTTATACAGATAGGCTAGCCGCAGTATCATGTAAAGTAAAGGACCTTATTCTACACCGTCATTTAGGCATATAGCACTAGACCTATATTTTATAGACCAATCGGCACTCGGTGGGTGATGTGGTCGACATCACGCTGACAGCCTTTACTTCCCAGGACTGCACCTGGTAGCCACTTAAGGCTGAGTCAACCTGGTAGCCACTTAAGGCTGGGTCAACCTGGTACCCACTTAAGGCTGGGTCAACCTGGTACCCACTTAAGAATTAATCAAGTAACAGAAAGTATTGTGAACGGCACTCATAGAAAGAAGTAGAAAGATAGAAGAACACACTAGACAACATAAAAATCGAAAGCTATAGTTACCGTGCCGGGAATTGAACCTGTCAACTAGGCACCCCCAAAAAAAGGTGTCTCATTGGCCATGTCTATCTTAAATGTTTGTGTATTCTAGACAAAGCAATAAGGTCTTACTGTGTTCGTAAATCGTTGCTGTGATTGTTATTCGACATTTGCTTCGTTAATATAAATTTCTGTAACCTATGGTGCCATTTCAATGGGTTGAAATGAATTCTGTCCGAATTCCATAGTCGTGGATTTCAAGCTGTACGATAGACATGGCCAATGAGACACCTTTTTTTGGGGGTGCCTAGTTGACCATGTATCTTAGTGCACTTGTATTCATGGTGAGGCGCAGACGCCGTCTGGAGGTGACAGGTTCAATTCCCGGCACGGTAACTATAGCTTTCGGTTTTTATGTTGTCTAGTGTGTTCTTCTATCTTTCTACTTCTTTCTATGAGTGCCGTTCACAATACTTTCTGTTACTTGATTAATTCATAATATTTAACGGCCTCAAATGGTTCCCCCCTCTGATTATTTATAGGAATGACGTATACCCACTTAAGGCTGGGTCAACCTGGTACCCACTTAAGGCTGGATCAACCTGGTACCCACTTAAGGCTGGGTCAGCCTGGTACCCACTTAGGGTTGGGTCAACCTGGTACCCACTTAAGGCTGGGTCAACCTGGTACCCACTTAAGGCTGAGTCAACCTGGTACCCACTTAAGGCTGAGTCAACCTGGTACCCACTTAAGGCTGGGTCAACCTGGTAGCCTCTTAAGGCTGAGTCAACCTGGTACCCACTTAAGGCTGAGTCAACCTGGTACCCACTTAAGGCTGGGTCAACCTGGTAGCCACTTAAGGCTGAGTCAACCTGGTACCCACTTAAGACTGGGTCAACCTGTTAGCCACTTAAGGCTGAGTCAACCTGGTAGCCACTTAAGGCTGAGTCAACCTGGTACCCACTTAAGGCTGGGTCAACCTGGTAGCCAAGGTTATTTTTGAAAAAAGTCCGGCTTCAGCAGGACCCAAACCCATGGCCTTCTGATCTGCAGCTAAGTGGCAGTCTCATATGGTAGGGAACAAATCCTTCCCCTGCTGGGGATTGAATGAAGACCACTGTCTAGGCAGGCTAGTCCTCTAACCAATGTACCATAGTCACTAACTACTAGACCACAATGGCTCAGCTACATGTACACACATTTAATTCTACATAACGCTACCATAAGCAGTTTAATGTTTTCAGTAGTTGCTGTAAAAGCATGTTTTTCCCACACTAGTTTGTTATGTCAGTGCTATAATTGTAATCACCACATGATAACCTAATGTAACAATAGTGCATCTTCTAGAAAGAAAAAAAAAGAGCATCAGGCTGACCTAGTCAAGTTCACTAATCACCAGACCATCATTGTTCCACCAGATACTAAGTTTTAATTGTTTTTCTGTTTCCAACTCCAGTGGTGTTATAAACGTGGATAAACAGAAAAACCTGGATGAGATGCCAGTTGTGAAGGAGATTCAGATGTGTGGCCTCGGCCATAACAAGACACGACCATATCTGATTGTGAGTATGGTTATAATTTTATAATTGTTTGAAGCAGCGATTCAACACACTGTATTATATTCTAGTTACAAGTCTGTCAGATATATTTAATGATGTATAGTTCAAAGTTTGCCAGGTTGTTGTCAGATAAAACTGAGCTACTGTATAACTGTAGTTGGTACTGACTGTTCTCTGTTGATGCCGAATGTTGGGTGGCTTTTTCCAAACCTGTCATCCATATTGTGCGCACAGCCTTATCCTACTAGGCATAGGAAATACAGCCTGAATGTTCACTGTTATTTCAGGACAGACCAGGCAATTAGCCTTGGTTCAGGAGGGAAGATCTTCCCCCATTGCCGGTCCTAAGCCTGGATGAGAAAAGAGAAGGGTTGGGCATGTAGCCAGCACTTCAACTTGTAAAAAAATTTTTTGCTGTAGAAACTTGCAGGAAAGGATGCCATTCCAAAGTTAAATGCATTTGAAAACGAATGTCTGAAATGATGAAAATAAAATGGGATGAATTCAAAAGGAGTGTAGAAATAAGTGAAATGCTTGGACAGACACTAGTATCAACAGTTATGAGTCAGAGAAATTAGCTCTACATTGAACATGTCCTGAAAAAAAACCAGCAGAGAATCACCAAACAAGCATAACGATGAGAAATGAAGAAATCGAGGAGAGGTGGATGCCTAGAAGAAACCCCAAGATGAACGTTGATGAGAGAGACCAAAGCTGCTGGACTGGATTCCATCGATGATATTGAACTGATCGCACAGGATAGAACGGAATGGAGGAATAGACTGTTAGCTTTGTATGATATAATAGCACAACAGAATAATGAGCTAGGAGGGAAGCCAACAGGCAGACATAAAGAGCTCTGCTCTTATGCGGCAGCTTTTGCAGCATGCTGTTCTCCAGACATATTGATGTTGCCTTTCCTTTGAACTAAACAAGGCAAAAAAAAAAAGAGGTATCATGCTGCATGAGCGACACATGATCTCCACAATGCTAACTTATCATGCATGTTGAACCACATACATTACCATCCATGTCTTAAGAGGTAACTAAGAAGGGTTGGTGTTAGATTGGCTCTCAGCCTGTAGAGAACTATAGTAGCTGGAAAACTTGACCAATCATGAAACTACAAAACTTAACCAACCATAAATGAGTCTACAAAATTCTACTAAAGATCTTTGGTTTGAATCCAATTTGGGGCAGATTTGTATAATTTACCTGAAGTTCCCAGGTTGATCCGGTCTAAAAAATGAGTACTGGAAATTGTCTTGAGAAGTAAAGGTGGCTTGTGTGATGTTGACCACATGACCCATCAGATGCCAATTGGTCTGTTAAAATATGGTCATAGAACTAATTGCCCAATGTGCTGATGGCATGGAAAGATCCCTACCTAACGTTTTTATTTGGCTATATCATCTTGTCTCTCTATTAGTATAAATGCTCTTAAAAAAATGCTCACTGAGTGCCAATCATCTTATTTTAGGCCAGAGTCGATGAAGATCTGCTTATATATGAAGCCTTTGCACGAACTGCTAGTACAGCAGACGCCCAGATGGCATTTGATCATCTGCGCATTCGATTTAGGAAAATTCAGCACGATTTAATTCTGAGGGAAAAACGACTTCAAACAAGAAAGAAGGGTGAAGACGAAGAGGAGCCTCCTGATGAGAACACACCTCCAGATTATATTCGGCAGCTGCGCTATTTTGAAGACATTTCTGGATACTCGGGAGTAAGTAATTATGTCCTCAGTTGTATGTTGACTCGCACATTTGTTTTATGTTAACCTTAAAAAATCTTGCTTCTTTGTTGAGCGTATTTAAAAAAAAATAATTTAAAACATGAAATAACAAGTACCTTTGATTTTATTTTATCTTACTTGGTTTGTAGACAAGGCACATGCATACACATACAGAGAGAGATTGAGCATGTGGAAAGAGAGAGTGTGGGAGAGAGTGATAGGTAGGGAGGGAAGGAGAACATGGTATAAGTAGAGGGAGGAAGGGAGAAAGAAAGTGAGAGGGGTAGTGAGAAGCGAGGAAAGGAGATGAAGAAAGAGAAAACATTCTTATTTGTGAATATAGCATGTATTCTAAAACTTTAGCCTATTGTCTGTCACAATAAGGGACTTGAGGGTTAATTCCTGAACCTAGAGCATTTTTATCTGTTTAAGGTAATATATATAAATATAAGTAAATAAATATATATATATATATAAAGGGTATATTATCTGCACTTGTTGACTGCATAGGCAGGCAGCTTCTACATTCTTAGCCCTCAGCAAAACAGAATGCTAGCAGAAACCAAAAAAAGATATAAGTGGCCATATTTTATTTATTAGCAAGACTGAAAATATTAGAAATAATATTAACTCTCTTAGGTTGTGAGGATTTTCTTCATGTTAACTCTCATTGTCCCAAGCAACACATCATGTCTGTTCTACTCTGTTATGAGTGTGTAGATAGCTCATGGCGTGTTTAATTTACCTTTCAAGCTTGGTCTGATTTTGGCAGATATTTTAACATGTATTCTAAAAGTCTTGACCTAAAAAAATGACAGTTTGGGTCTGATGAGTAAAGATAATAACGCTGTGGAAAAGGAGCTGTTAAAAGAATGACACAGTGGGACAGGAGGTGTTAAAATAATAACACATCGGATGGGAGGTGTTAAAGTAACACAGTAGGCAGAAGGTGTTAAAATAACACTAAGGGAAGGGAGGTGTTAGTAACACTATGAGACCGGTGTTAAAATAATAACAGTATGGGACAGGAGTTGTTAAGAGGCTAATACTAAAAAGGATATAAAAAAAACACTATGGGACAGGAGGTGTTAATAACACTATGGGACAGGAGGTTTTAATAACACTGTGGACAGGAGATGTTAATAACACCATGGGGCAGGCCTTAAAATAACACAGTATTGGACAGGAGGTGTTAAGATACTAACACTATGGGACAGGAAGTGTTAAAATAATAACACTATGGGACTGGAAGTGTTAAAATCTACTTAGAAGCATGAGAATTAAAATGGGCATAAAAACAAACAAGAGGAGTTAAAAAAAATAGTACTGGAGAAGTTAAAGTAAAAATTAGGTTCTCGTGGCCAAGTGTAACAAATGAATGAGGCACATTGAGTTAATAATAATAGAACATGTCATGAAACCAGCAAGCGAATGATGATTTTATCTGGTATAAATTATTATTATTATTATTATCGAACACCGGCTATGAATTCCAGTGGAAGGTCCCGGTTAATCGTCCGCTTGGACTTTTGGCTTTCACCTGGACCTGATTTTTGCGTGTACAACCGTTTTTCATTTCCTTGCCTCTTGGGCAGCTGTACGCCGACTTCGAAGGAAGACGTCAGGCCTATTTCTAGGGTGACTGTGGCCATTGTTTTGTGTGGGTCGAGAAGTTTGCCTAATTTGTGTGGTGTCCATTTTGTCTCCTTCGCCGCAGGTATTGCCCCCAGAGTACCCCTTTGGGGCAGCCCCCTGTGGAACAGTTGGCCCTCAAGGGAAGGCAGGGGCAGATCATGGGCATTCCCCGCCATCCAAGGAGGCTTCCATGCATGCAGAGCCGGCACATATTGCTCTGATTCTGGGCTCACCCAAGGAATCGTCACGTCCTGCACATGCCTGCTTAACCTCACAACCGTATCAGGCCTCCCACTCGACATGGGCTGCGCCCTCTGGAAGCAGCCCGTGGGTTTTGGACTTTTGTGACCACACAGATAGGTGCATTAGCCTGACAGAATTTCACATCCTGAATCAGGCGCATCGTTATCAGTTTTGTCCCAACACTCGGGCGAGTGGGGTCTTTGGGTGTGGATATTCGGTCTTTTTCAGTTCAGTGCAAATTTTTGATGGTCAGATTTTGATCCGTATGATCTAGTTTTGTCGGACATTTAGGCTTAGCCATCCGATGGATGGTTGCTGTTGTGGTGTACCCCAGCTCGGTGACGACGACACTGAGGGTTAACCGAGGATGTACGTGAATGGCCAGCCTATGGATGGTTGTTGTTGTGGTGCACCTCAGCGCGGTGACGACGACACTGAGGGCCAACCGAGGATGTACAAGGATGACCAGCCTATGGAGGGTTGCTGTTGTGGTTGTACCTCAGCGCGGTGACGACGACACTGAGAATTAACAGAGGATGTGCAGTGAGCAATGATCTCTTTACTCAGCAGTCTTTTAACAAAAGGTTGTAATTTTAGCTGTATGTTTGTCAACCCTACTCATGTTCCTAATGAGTTTTGATAGCATTTTCACCCAAGCGTTTGGGGGCGGGCTGATGAGAGCCACAAGGACACATCACCTCTGGGGGCCGCCAAACTCCGAGATCCCCTGACAGCTCTGTTAATGCTCATTTGAGACATTATCCGTGGCGCACGACGAGGACGTGCTGTAGGGGTCTTGCGTGAGGTTCCGTACAACCAGGATAGTAAAGGACTGGCGCCCGAGTGACGTACGGAGTATCTCCTTATACACGTCATGTTGGGCTTAAATTCCCCTCACGCCTGTGACATAAATCACCGCGCCACTTCTGGTATAAATGAGTTGAACTCGCTGTGGACAGCATAACGTTTATAACCAATATTTGACTACAAACAGAAGACCCCATTAAAATGAAACAAGAAGTGGGTCTATCATTACTGGCTGTACATAACTAGTCTCCTTGCTAAGAAATACTGTTTAAAACCTTCCTGTTCCTAATAGGTTAATGTTGCACATATTTAAAAAAAAAATATATCATTTTTGGATTAATTGCTTTATACTGGAATAACAAAATGATGATAACTTTGTCAGGTTTTCATCTGTGGACCTTACCCCCACTGGATTTTCATGACAAGCAAGGGATCATTGAGGATTCACCCAATGGGCATTGATGGCTGGGTCACCTGCTTTGCATCTTTCCACAATATCAACTGTCCAAAGGGCTTCCTGTATTTTAACAGAAAGGTACATTTCAGGCTCATGTTACACAATCGTAATGTTCTACAGTCTCCATGTTCCATAGTCTAAATACTCCACATTCTCAAGCTTTTGCAGTCTATTTTCATTCTCAGTGTTCTATAGTCTCTATGTTCCACATGCTCAGTGTTCTATAGTCTCTATGTTCCACATTCTCAGTGTTTCAGTTCCCGTGTTCCCTGATCTTCTTCATATTTTACTGCTTCGGGTATCAAGGAAGATGTAAGGCTGTGCTTTTTGCTCTTCTAGCCGCCTCGACCATAGATGCATGGTGATGTTGTACTTTTTCTGATGTTATCTTTCCATCTTGTTCTTCGTCTGCCTAGTGTTCTGAGTCCTTCTCCTCTTTTGATGTATCTCTTGTATGGTTTGCCTTAAAAGGCATTCTCTCTAAAAACCACTTGATCGGCTGTCTTTGTGTGTAATTTATACTGTTATCACTTACACGACTTGGACGGGGGGTTGGACTTTAGGAGACATGTTTCTTGATGACTATAGTAATTTTGTATTAAAATGTGTGGATTGTTTTTGTTTCAAATATTCAGCATGCACTTTGATCGGAACGTTAGTTATTTAATTAGTTAGTCGACAAGTTATCCTCATTGCACTTTAGACCATTTAGTCTGTAAGTGCTCAGATCCCCTACTTAATAAATCCTGCAGCATGTGTCGGCTCACGACACCAGTTCTGTGTTGGTTTGTTATTCTTCTTTGGCTTTCTGCATAATGCTGTTGTATGGCCACACCCCATTTAACATGTTGTTCTTGTAGTCTGGTCATGGTTGCAGATTCAGACCTGAATCTGAAAAGATAATGTACTATCAGGTTCAGACAAGTCATACTCAGCCAGTCATGCATTTCATTAAAGAGCATTCAATGAAATCCGATGAGGAGACCCTGGTACCAAATTCTGCAGAGCCACAGTGAAAGAAATAAAATTGAATATAATTAGCGTGGAGCAAGAGGAGACAACTCAAAATATGAATTGATGGCATCAAGAAAAACCTTAGAAAAATGAAGACAGACTTACACTGCACATTAGAAAGAGTACACAGAACATTCTTAAATCTTTTCCCAACACTTTGGTAAGATAACTGGAGGAACAAGACTTTCTGAGTGTGGCAGAAGTGCAATTATGAAAGTTTTTAGGCTTAGTAAAAGTAGTAAATATCAAAATTCTTTGAAAAAAAAATGTTTTAATAAATAATATTATTTATATTTGCTGACAGTCGGACTTGTGCATCTGTGTGCTTCCAACTCATGTGACATATGATGCACCATGGCCAATACGTAAAGTACCCTTGAGATGCACACCACATCATATAACCTACCACAATGACAGCAAGGTGAGTTTGCAACTTATTGCAGTACTTTCTTTTTATTTCAGACCCCCCCCCCCCCCCCTTTTTTTTTTCTTTCTTTTTTAGATGCCTTGTATATTACTTTTATCTCGATATAGTCATTCTCTTTCTTTGGGTTCTTGGGCCCGTTTTGGGAAATAAAGTTTCAACTGCCCCTTAACAAGCATGTTATTTAAGGTAACTGATTAGGAGTTTGCTGAAATTGGATATGTTGGGCTGAGAGGTGCAGATATTGCAGCCTAGCTGTAAACCACAACACAACATGCGAATTGCCCTACTAAAAGTGAATGAAGAAAAAGAAGAAGGTTCTTGTCCTTTTCCCTTATTGCGTTTTTCTAGTTTCACCTTAATCAGGCTGTTTATAAGCTCTGCTGTCTTGTCCATTGAGTTTTCTGATGACAGTTAGTGCTGTGTTAAGTATTCAGTTAATAAAGACATTGATCAAAATGTTCAGATGTACTTATGCACCTCTTTTCTGTTACCTCCTTTGAGCTTTTGTCACAGTTTATGTATTATATGTGGTGCCTGTTGATGCATTAGCAGCTTCAGTAATCTTATGTGTATGTGTATCTAATACATAGCAGGCAGATCAGTGAATTCCCATGACAGATATTCCTGCTGGGGTCTTTAGTGTTAGGCCTTGACTATGGCCTGAGGTGGGGTAGTTAGTTTTCTCAGAAAATTCTGAAAGATTATTTGGTAACCAGTTGAGATCACACAGAGTCAGACTGGTAAAAAAAATGGAGTTTCTTCTTCTTTTTCTTCTTAGCTTTCACCAGTGTAAACTGCAGTGGAAAGTTGTGGTTGTTCATCCACTTCTGGTCTTTGATCTTGTTCTAGAATTTGAGTTTTCCAGGCACATCTATTTTGCAGATCTGGCTTTTTTGTGTGCAGACCGTTGTTTCCTTGCTTCTCAGGCAGATACACTGTGAATTCACACCCCTAATTAGTTGTGCACAATAATCACTCAACGATGCTCCAGGATACACACCCTTTTCCACACTGGGGCATAAAGTATATGATGATGATTGCAAATGTTTGAACTGGTCAGAGTTCCCTGTGTAGTGGTGTTAGTTAGACTTCCCAGAACATTTGCTAGTACCCATTTTAGATTGGGTTGTCCCTGTATGGAGTTGTCAATATCAGACTTCCCGGAACATTTGCTAGTACTTATTTTAGATTGGGTTGTCTTTGTGTGGAGTTGTCAATATCAGACTTCCTGGAATATTTGCTAGTACCCATTTTAGATCGGGTTGTCCATGTGTGGATTAAAACAGTAATAGACTTCTCAGAACATTTGCAAGTACCTATTCTAGATTGTGTTGTCTCTGTATGGAGTTGTCAATATCGGACTTCCCGGAACATTTGCTAGTACCTGTTTGAGATTGGGTTATCTTTTTGTGGAGTTGTCAATATTGGGCTTCCCAGAACATTTGCTAGTACCCAATTTAGATTGGGTTGTCCCTGTGTGGAGTAAAACAATAATAGACCCACTCTCTTAACAAGCATGTCATAAGAGTAGACTAAGCAGGGGTTTGCTGAAATTGGATGTGTTGAGCCGAACAGTGCAAATAATGCAGTCTAGCTGTAAACTACAAAACAGCGTGCTAACTGCAGGTTTTTCATGGATTGGCATTTTCTGCTGGTGTTACTAGAAGCAGATGAATTTGCTTTACTTATCAGTAAAATTTCCCTGTACCAATTTTTCTGTTTATTGGGAGACACTGCTAACTTGAGGCTGTTACTTCAGGGTCGAGCATACGTAACATTTGACAGTTGGAATTCCTTGTCAACATACTGACAGAAATGTAAATTACATTCAACAGTTGTATGCTGTAGTCACCAGCATTCAGGAAAGCACAAACAAGTTTCCCCGTGTTCTGTCGGATGACCGGGAATGGGATTATGTAGAGAGAAGTAAGTGCTTCTGCATCATTGTCTTGTATTTGTGTGCAGTATATGTTGTGTTGCACAGAATCAGCATCAGACACTTGGACCTCCAGGTTTTCTCTTTGGTTTGTAGCTTTATGCACTTCCCACTTCTGTTATTAATGTCTTCACCGCAGAAGATTCTGTTGTGGTTCATTCTTCCTTACGTGTAATGTCAGCTATGGTAGCCTTTTCTAATGTGTCAATTCTAATTTATGTTTTCAAAGAGCTTAGACAAAAACAACTTATTGTGAGCACCAGAAAGAGGTAGTCTTCATTGGGTTGGGGAGGGGGGCACATTATAAAAAGGTGACTGGAAAGATTGACGGAAGAGAGGTGATAGAAAGCAATGACAAACTTTTATCATGGCACAAAAAGGTGAATAGGGGAACAAATGAATTCATGCTGTTGAAGCTTGTATGATGTACATAAACTTAATTACCCATGCCAATCAGTAGGACACTTGATGCTGATCATATCTAAACAAGAAATATCAATCGATCAATCAGGTTGGCTGCTGTGGATCTCCAACACACTCTTGTCTCTCATCTTGTTGTACACTCTCTCATGCTGCTGATCATCCATCTTTTGGTGTGATTTTTCCAATTGTATCAGTGTCCTCCTCTTGCTTTCATGCCTTTTACTTTCCCACCTGTACAGTTTTTAAAGAGTATTATGTCTTTGAGTGTGGACAAAATATTACACATGACTCTTTTATTTTTTCCAGCACCTTTTTTTCAAAGTTCTAATCGCAGTTTATTCAGAACCTCTGTATGTGTATTTGTTTCTATGAAAATAACTTATTCTTCTGAATATCCACATCTCCAGAGACTCAGTTTGATTTTCTGGTTGTGAAGTAGACACCACCTAGTCAGTCTTTTGCCCCTTGATGCTAATTATACATATTTAATTGTCACTATCTTATCCCTTTCTTCTTTTTCCAAACTAGACCTTGTTCTTTCTGCCCTTCAGTGTCAGGGTTTGAAGAGGCATCTGATAAAGTCATTGGTGTGTTGGTACCTAGATGCTGGTATTAACCGCCTCAGATATTCCATCTACCCATAGAATGGGTGGGCAACCTCTAGTCTGCTTCCATAGTGTCCAAGTGACAGGGCTGTGTGTGTGGTGCACTATCTTGTTGTAGACTTGACACATGTTCGAACATGTCTTATCCCTGCAATGAGTTATTGGTTAATTTGGCTGCTGTTATTTAAATATTGCACTGTTAACTTGACTACATGATTGCCACCAGCATTGTAGGAATTTAATCCCCAGTGACGAATAATGCAACATGAACATTTTACTGAATAAAAATGAAACAGATCTTTGAACTATAATGGAACATGAACACATCATTTAAGCATAATAAAACATGAACATTTTACTGAAGTGTAATAAAACATGAACATTTTACTGAAGTATAAGGAAAAATTAAGATTTCATTGAAGTATAATAAAACATTAACATTTGAGTAAAGAATAATGAAACGTGAACTTTTCACTGAAGTATAATGAAACATGAAAATTTCATTGAATTATAATAAAACATTAACATTTTAGTAAAGAATAATGAAACATGTCACTAAAATAGATTGCAAGATATAAATTTCACTGAAGGATAATAAAACTGAACATTCAACTGAATGACAATGAAACATGTTTTGAAAACATCCTCTTGCAGGGTGATATTTTGTAATTAGTCGTGTAAAACTACTTTATATAACAAAGAAAAAATAGGCAGTTGATTTCAGCAGTTCAGCATTTGACTTCACTCTTTGTGTCAACAGATGAAAGGTTTGTGTACCCCAACATGAGCAAGTACACCTTACAGCTGTTTACTCCAAGCACTTGGGAAGTGATCCCTGACACAAGGTGAGATTAAATTGTTGCATATTCATAGCAGTGGCAAACTACTGAATGTAAAATTGCCTAGCGAAATCACAAACAGACAAAAACAATTGCTAGAGCTGGTTCTGCAACGTCCTGTAAAGGATACATAACTATGTCTTTTTCCTGATAATTAAAAATCATCCACTCCCAACGGAATCAGTCTCTCCAGTTATGGATACTCTATAGAGCTGCACTTTCTATTTAATCCCATAAAGCCTTTACCGCATCTGCTTAATGGTCAAGTCACCCACCTAGAGGAGAGGCAGCCTAGACAACATTTCTCTGTGTTCATGGCTCAAACAATTGTGATTGTTATGACAGTGAAATAAATTGATTTTACTTTGTTGCCACATTGATATTGTTTTGTTTGTTTGCCCTGCTTTACAAAAAAAAGTAAGGTAGGGGGTCAAGAAGTTATGGGGGCCCCCCAAAATTACTTAAAAAAAAAAAAACACAATAAACAACAACGATTTTACACACATCATTGACAAATTGTTTAAAACATATTTGTCTACATAAAAAATATATCTACATATATATATATATATGTGTGTGCGTGCCTGAGTGTGTGTGTGTATGATTCCTTTGTTGTTGTTGTTGTTGTTGTTATCGATCCAGCGGCGCATGAGCTTTCGCCCTTTGGCCCAATGCCATCTAGTGGAATTTGCATGTTTTTACAAGCTGTTCTTTTCCTCCGTACAAGGTGTTCCACTTTTCTGGTCTCGGAGGGAGTAGCGTTCTTCTTGTCTCACTGAGTTTTGGGCACTCAAAGAGATGGTGTTCAACAGTTTCGTAGGGGTAGTTACATAGCTGGCACTCTGGGGAGTGTTGTGGCTGTATTCTGTTTAGGTGTCCATTGAGTGGAGTATGTTGCGTTCTAAGTCTTAAGATGGTGGCCTGGTCCCTTCTTGTTAGATGGTTAATGCTGTCATTAGGATCAGGGCCAGACATATGTCTATAAACCTCTCTTCCAGTGTCTCTCATGGCCCATCTGTTCAACCAAGTCTCTTTGTTTATAGCTCTTATAAGTGTTTTTGCTGTCTGGAGGGTTGTCGCTGTAGGTGGTTGTTCTTGTGTTGCCCCTTTCTTTGCCAATCTGTCAGCTCTGTCATTACCTGGTGTGCCGGAGTGACCTGGAATCCACTGCATCACTATTCTGATGTTGTATGAGGTAATAAGCTGATCAGCATCCAGGATTATCTTGGCTATGTCAGTTCTGCAGCATTCACTGCCCTCCAGAGCTTGAAGGGCAGACATTGAATCTGTGAAGATGACAATATTTTGGACCTTTGAAGGGTAAACATCCATTACAGTCTTTAGGTGGTATACTGCTGTTTCCAGTGCAATTATTTCAGCTTCATAGTTTGAACAGAATTCCCCGCATGCATCAAAAATCTCTTCAACAGATCCATCGGGATAACCTATGTAGATTCTGTAACCTGCTTTAATGGTAGCTTTAAATGCTGATCCATCAGTATAGACATGTATCCATTCTTGGGGGTAAGAATCAACGGTCTTTAGTGATGAGTTCATAAGAGCGATTGGGTCGGACTGTTTGGTTTCCTCGCCTACCAATTTAGTTCGGACTTCTGGAGCTTTAAAGCGAGCATGTGGTGGTAGGTTTCTTGCAACATTCTGAATTCCTTGACGTCTTTCTGGGAGGTGGTATCTGTCCTGAATTTCATTAACACAGTGTAAAACCGATTTGTGCTTTATTCTTTGTTTGTATTCCCAGTTTTCTACAAGATGTCTATTAGGATGGTTACGATTTTTCCTACACATCTTTAATAAATTTCTAAAGTGGCTTTTTCTCTCCGCAACCCGAGGGGTTCCACATTTGTATGGATTTCACATGCAGCAGTTGGTGTAGACTGCATAGCTCCGCAGATTAATCGGAGGGCATTATTTTGTACTCTGTCAAGAGTCTCTAGGTTAGTTTTGGGGCAAGTTGTAAGCAGTGAGTTGTTGTACTCTATCACAGAGCGAACATATCCTAGATATAAGCCCCTCAGAGTTTCCTTGTCTGATCCCCATGATGTACCTGCAAGTCTCTTTAATAACTGTAACCGCCTCAATGCCTTATTCCTGATGTTTTCAATATGGTTCTTGAGGCTGAGCTGCCGGTCAAGTGTGACTCCACGGTATGTGGGATGCTTCTCTTTCATCACTTGGTGTTTGTCTAACCTCAGGTTAATATTCTTCCTTGCTACTTGGTGGCTTTTGGTAAAGATTGTGTAGACCGTCTTTGCACAGTTAACTTTGAGTTTCCATCTTTGGCAGTACTCATGCAGTCTTCTAAGGTCTCCATTCAGTCTTTGGGCTCCACTTTCCACATTTTCATGACTCTGCCATATTGCTAGGTCATCAGCGTACAATGGTTCCTTTGTGAGTGGATGATTTTCAATTAGCAAGAAAAAGACTGTTATATATGTATGTATATATTTAAATATATAGTGTGTTTTTACTTAGAAATATATATGTGTGTGTGTATATACATATATATATATGTATGTGTGTGTGTATATATTTATATATATGGTTCCTTTGTGAGTGGATGATTTTCAATTAGCAAGAAAAAGACTGTTATATATGTATGTATATATTTATATATATAGTGTGTTTTTACTTAGAAATATATATGTGTGTGTGTATATACATATATATATATATATATGTATGTGTGTGCATGTGTGTGTGTATATATTTATATATATGGTTCCTTTGTGAGTGGATGATTTTCAATTAGCAAGAAAGACTGTTATGTAGTTATGTATGTATGTATATATTTATATATATATATAGTGTTTTTACTTATAAATATATATATATATATATATGTGTGTGTGTATATATATATATGTATATATATATATGTATGTATATATATATATATATATATATATATATATATATATATATATATATATATATATATATATATATATATATATATATATATAAATATATATATATATATATATATATAAACTTACATCAAGTCAAGGGGATACTGACTGGGAAGCATTAAATGGAATACTTTCCCCAGGGCCTTAAAAATGTGACTAAAGGAAAACCTTTTAATGTCGGTATGTCTGTAAAAAAAGCTATTTGGTTCACAAAAAGACACACACACACACACACACACACACACACACCCCCCCCCCCCCCCCAGGTTTGAAAAAAAAATATATATTGATAACTGGAACTCCTAAATGTTGTGCAAGCACAAACAGTGCTGTCGACATTAAACTACACTTCTCAACCTTTATGGGAGTGGATCATTGGCAGAAATATTGGGCATGTGGCTTCCAAGGTGTATAGGATCAAACCTTCAGCCAGTCACCAGTTTCTTGACCATGACTTGTTTGCTTGTTCATATCTTGATTATTGTGAGTTTTGGACATTCAAGAATATTTATATTTTAATATGTTTTATCTCATGTTTTGTGCTCATAGATACGACTGTGAAGACTGGGAGCACATCACATGTCTGGCAAATGCTCAGCTCAAATCTGAGGGCACCATTTCTGGGTTGAAGGGTTATGTTACCATGGGAACAGCCTACTGTATGGGGGAAGATGTGGTAGCACGTGGGCGGGTACGTAAATCACATACACTGAGAGATCTTGTCAGTGTTGCACTATTTCATTGTGTCTGTTCTTCTTCTTCTCCTGCTGCTGCTGCTTCTTCTTTTTTTTTTTCTTAGTCTTCTTCTTTTTCTTCAGTATTCCAAACCCTTAAAGCTCATTGCTACAAATACTACTTGTCTTTATTCTTCTGTCTGACTGGTTTTCTCTTTCCATATGTTAGCTTCAAGTCTTTGCTTTGTAGGTGTGCCTGTATATTATCTGCCTCCACGATTTTGGTCTGCCATGTGGTCTACTCCTATTCATCTGTTTGTATCTCTCTCTTATTTGCCTTTATCTCTGTGCCCCAGCCATAGCAATCTGCTAGCCCTACATTAGGATTCACTACTTGAAAGTTCACAAAATTATGTGCTTGTCTGATTTTTTTGTATAATCATTGTTTTAAAAAAGTAAAGTAAAGTTCCCTTTTCACGCCTTTCGGCGCATCGGGCATATGGGCAGAGCGTCCCATATTTTTACAGACCATCAGCACTCTGTGGGTAATGTGGTCAGCATTACGCCGGCTGTCTTTACTTTCCCAGGACAGCCCATCCTGGTACCCATTTTAGGCTGGGTCGACCTGCGACGCCCCATACCACAATCATTGTTTTACTTCATTATTTATCCGGTGTCTACCATTGTGCTGGTTAACCTTTGTCTCTACTTCCAGGAACCTTTGTTACACTCCAACCATTTATGGTGTTATTATAGAGAGAATATTTTAATTTCTGAGAAACTATCTGTAAACCATTCTGAATAATGGCAGTATTTTTTCCTCTGTAACATTTCATAATTCATGATTTATGATTACCTTAGGGTTTATTTGTAATGCAAATTATTAGAAGCTGAGTTTTATCCTCTTTAGATTATTATTTTGGATGTCATCGAGGTCGTCCCGGAACCAGGGCAGCCACTTACCAAGAACAAAATCAAGGTACACAAATTTTGTATTTTATTGTTCATTGTTTTCACAGTCAAACTGTTGCCTCACATTCAGAAGGTCATGGTCTTGTTTTCAGTCTTCGTTGTTCAGTTAACATGTGCATTTTAAATTGTTTTTTTTTAAAAAATGATCCCTGCTGATTGTTGCTGGAGCTGCAGAGTTCATAGCACTTTATATTTGTAGGATTTTTTTTTTGACTGAAGGCCAACCACTCTGCAGAGAGGGATCAAACCTGTTGAATAAAATTCATTGCAGTGAAATTGAACTTCTGTTTAAACATATTTTAAACACCTCTGTTATCCCTAACATCTACACTTTGTTGAGATTAAGGTAGTAAGGGTTATCTTCTTCTTCTTCTCGTTCACCAGCTGTAAACTCTGGCAGAAGGTTCTGGTTGCTCGTCCGCTACTGAACTGCAGTCCTGCTCCAGAACCTGAGTGTTGCGTGTGCATCAGTTTTACAGATCTCATTCTCTTGGATACAGACTGTTGGTTCCTTGCTTCTCCGGCAGATGCACTCCGACTTCAAAGGAAGCTCCCCAATTAGTCGACTCTTACGACATGCTTTTGGCGAGGCAGTGGGTCTATTCTTGTTTTCCTCACAATGGGGCCCCGGAACCCACACGGGGGAAAGAAGGGTTATAAGAAACCTGTCATGGGAAGTGAACAGAGATACTTTGGTACGTCTGCTGCATCAGAGGACTGAGGGTATAGCCAATGTGTACTGAAACCTCTTATCTTCTTCTTCTTCTTCTTCTTCTTCTTCTTCTTCTTCTTTTTCTTCTTCTTCTTCTTGTTCACCAGCTGTAAACTCTGACAGAAAGTTCTTCCACTCCTGGTCTCTGGTCTTTTTCCATAACTTGAATTTTGCATTCATATCGGTTTTACAGATCCGTCTTATTTGTGTAAAGACTGTTGGTTCCTTGCCTCTCAGGTAGATGCAGTCTGACTTGGAAGGAAACCCCTAATTAGTTGACTGTGATGACACGCTTGTTAGGGGAGTAGTGGGTCTATTCTTGTTTTTCTCCCACAGTCGACCATTGGCACTGGTCATAGTTTGTAGCATGTTCCTGACCTGCAAGCAACCACTCTTGTGGAGAGCGATCGAGCCTATTGAAAAAACTCATTGCAGTGAAGCTGAGCTGAACCTCTCTGTAAACGCATTTTAAACTGAATTTCCTTAACACATAGACTATTGTCGAGATCAAGATAGAAATGGTTATTTAAAAAAAAAAAAAAAACTATCATGGAACAGTGTGTAGAGGGTACTTCAGGATGGCTGCTCCATGAGAGGACTAAGCATGCATGGGAATAGCAAATGTGCACTGACACTTATCATGATAACATAGTGTGCAACAATTATATAGTTAAATTTCTTTAAAGAATATTGTAAAATGTGGACAGACTGTCATAAAAGTTGAATGTTAATAGTCTCACTGGTCTGTTGTCTGAATTTTCAGTTTGTATGTTCCCAGAGACAGGAAGCATTTTATGCTATCTTAAAGAATTCTTCTTTCTCATTGGACCTTAAAATGGTGGCTGGCATGTTGTATTGTGGTTTACAGTTAGGCTGCATTATTCGTGCCTTTTGGCCCAGCACATCCAATTTCAGCAAATTACAAGCATTGAAATCTGAAGCACTTTTCTAGCTGTAGTTGCAGTCATTGTTATAAATTACTAGGTATGTTGAACAGAAACCTGTTCCAGTGGCTTTATTACAAAAACATGAAAGATTTATGTTGCAGAATTAAACACGGCTTCAGCAAAAGTCATGGTAGGCATTTAGTTGTGCATCCTACTATTTTGGAGAGATTTTAGATACATTAATGTATGAACCACAACTTTTGAGGGCATCTGGTATTTGCTGTTTTCCTAGCATTTGCTGTTTTGCCACATAATATATATTTCATATTTTTGTATTCGTTAGTTAGTCAGTTAATTAACAGATAATCCTCACTGCACAGCAAACAAGTCCATAAGTGCTCAGACCCCATCTTCAGTATATCGCTCAACGTGTGGCGACTGATAACACCAGTTCTGTGTTGGTTAACTATTCTTCTTTGGCTACCTGTATAGTGTTCATGTTCGGTGACTCCTCTTTAGACCTGGAGTTTGTGTTTTAATGCCATTGAAATGGGTTGCATTTGATCATGCCTCACATGATTAGTACACGTTTGAAAAAAATTGTAATCAGTGCATTTATTTTAATTTCAGGTAGTATATGATAAAGAGCAGAAAGGTCCAGTTTCAGCAATTGCCTATTTGAATGGTTTGCTAGTTACAGCCATTGGCCAAAAGGTAACACTCTTCAAGTAAACTTTGTTAGTTTTATGTTCCATGTGTAGTTTCAGGGACCCCATTTTGGGGACAAAACCACCCCCAGCAAGCATGTCATAAAAGACAGCTTATTAATATTGAAGTTGGAGATGTTGAGCTAAAGGTGCAGATATGACAGCCTAAATGTCGACCTCAACGAAATGTGCTGACTTTTAAGGGTGATCTCAGAAAAAAGTTAGCTTATATGAATACAAGGTTTTACAATTGTTTATGTAGTTAGCAAAGAACCACAAAGTGTATCTTGAGTCTTCTTATAGATCAGTCAGCACTGGGTGGGTGATGGGATCATCATCATGCTGCCAGCCTTTACTTCCCAGGGCTTTACCTGGTACCCATTTAAGTCTGCGTCAACCTGGGGCCAATGCAAGTTTTGAAAAAAGTCCAGCTCCATTGGAATTTGAACCAACCTCAATGTGCTCTTCTGCTTGAAGCCATTGGCACACTGTAGAATGCTAGGTTTAGGAAATGGTTGTAGTTGATTCTTTTATCCAAAACTAGAACAAAAGTAACGATGCAACTTGACAGTCTGGCAAACCAGTAGTGGATTTATTCCTTTCACCCCGAGATTCCACAAGACCAGCACTTCAGGTTATGCCACGCCCCCGTAAATGTTGATTTACCGACATTGCTATAAAGGCTTTTTCGAGAGAAACCTAGCTAGCAGTATAGGTATTGGTATCATTTGTGCCTACGCAAACATTTAGCAGCACTCGGAATACTTAAATTTGCTAAATATAGCATTTATGTTGGGTTTCTTGTGAAAAAATGCCTTTTAAAATAGAAATTAAGACATAAGAAATTCCCAGTAATCATAGTGGTAATCCAGTGACCCAGTAACTTGGTCAGAATGAGTAATAATATACATTTTTTTTAAAGCCAAAGAGATGTCACCCAGTTAATTCTCTACTGTGTGTGTTGACTGTTTACTACACTTATTCTATGTGGAAATTAATATTGTTTAGTCCATAAATGAAATAGTTAGGGTGTTTTGTAACCTTTGTAGTATTATGGTTTTTTTAAATGTTTTTTATTGTTTTTTTTTAAAATAATTTTTATAGGGAATTTTCCAAAACATGAGTCCGATTTTTGTATTTTACTAGGTCACCAAGATGAAAGAGTTAAATGTTCACACAAAAAACTGCTCGAATTTTTTTATGAAATTGTATTCTAGCAACTCTACTACTATGGCACCCACACAAGATGCATAATTCCTGTATATTGCTGATTGTTTTGTCCACAGATCTACATTTGGTCCTTGAATGATGATGACCTGTCCGGTGTTGCCTTCATAGACTCCCTTGTTTACATCCATTCCTTGCATGTCATCAAGAACCTGATCATCGCAGCTGATGTGATGAAAAGTGTTGCACTCTACCGATACCAGGATGATCTGCGTGTACTTTCCTTTGTCAGCCGGGTCAGTCTGCTTTGGGAACGAGACAATTAGTCTCTTTAATAAGATAGTAAATGTTTTAAACTGTGCACTCGGTTTAGTTTGGTTTGTAAAAGGGAAAGTACATGTCGTGATTTGTGTAGTTGGTATGGATTGTTGGTCTGTAAAGAAGTAAGTAAATACTTCTTCTTAGCATCCACTGGCTGTCAACTCCGGGTGAAAATTCTAGTTGTTCATTCACTTCTTCTTCTTTTTTTTTTTTTCACTGGCAGAAAGTCCTGGTTTTTCATCCAATTGGACTTTGGCTTTGTGCTAGGGCCTGAGTTTTTTTGTGTACATCTGTTTTTCTGATTGTTTCTGGGCTGATGCACTCCGACTTTGAAGGAAGTCCCCAATTAATCGACTCCTACAACATGCTAGTTGGGGAGGCAATGGGTTTATTCTTGTTTCCCCACAATGGGGTTCTGGAACCCACACTTGGACTTTACTTCTGAACTTTGATGTTGTTCCAGAACTCAAGTTTTGCTTGCTCATCCATTTTACAGATCTGGCTTGTTCCCCCCCCCCCCCCCCCCCCCCCCACCTCTGAGGCAGAGGTACTTATGCACTTTAACTTTGATGAAAAAATCCCTAATTAGTCCCCTTTTTAACCACACCATCCTTTTAAAGCAGCAGTCGATTATTTGTTCTCGGAGAACTGAGCCCCAAAATTCACACACATGTACTTAAATAGTTTGAGTCTTTCTGGTCACCTGGGTGCACTAATTCCATTTGGGTTTTTTAAAATGCCTTTTATAACCGTCTCAGCGTCTTGATATACCTGATGAATAATGCTAGAGGGTCGTGGTTCACCGTCTCACACGATCACCAAGATTCTGTGAGATGGCAAATTTGATTGTGAGTTCGGGTCCCTTGTGGTAATGTCATCCAGGGTATTTTTCTCTTTGTCCTTCCCTAGTCCTTTCCCGAACAAGTTTGCCAGTTGTCCCAAAGTTTTCAAATTTATGTAAAAAATAGCAAACGACTAATTTTAAGGTCTCCATCTGTTCTTAGTGTGCCTCAGTTGTTTTCCTGCCTGCCCATCATATTCTTTGCATTTTTCTCAGAACCCATGTTTCTGCTGCCATCAGATGTTTTTCAGCTAGCCTAGTTTGTATGTGTCCATGTTTCAGATAGACACTAACTACTACAGCGCTTTTATAAAAGCACTTCAGCACTTTTCTTACTTATATTGGTTAGTGTGCTAATCTTTCTTGCAAAATTAAAATACTCTGATTTAATTTTTTAATTTTGTATTTTAAATGTCGCCCTTAAGAAAGAAAATAGGGGCTTTTGAGCTAAAATACTATAGAAAGATTCTCAAAATACCATGGACAAAAAAGAGAAGAAATACTGACATTTAAAAGAATCTGAACAACAAGGAAGATTGACTGATACACAGCATCTTGTCTCAGAAGCTGAAATATTTTGGTCACATCAAGCGCAACAGTGTATTGAACAAAAAAATAGCAGACGGCATGGTACTAGGAAGGAGTGGGCAGGGGCTGACCAACATAAGGATGGGCACAGGATTTAAGTGACTCCTTGATTTTGAAAGTACACGAGGCAGTAGAGATGGCAGACTGTGATGAGAGCGACGTTCTGCAAAGGACCTGCTACATGATGATGATTTTAAATGTTATATATTTGTGACTTATTTGTCTTGTTTTTTCCCTAGGACATCAGGCCATTGGAAACTTATGCAGCAGAATTTATGGTTGATGGAGATTCCTTAGGTTTTGTAGGTATGGTAATAGATTCTGTATAGTCTGCTTTTGAGTCCTAAAGTTTGCCGTAGCTCTGTGGGATGTAATCTTTTTCTTCTTCTTCTTTTGTCATCTCACTGATACCAGGTTGTAGCCCAGTGTCATTTTCTGTATTTGTCTTGCTCTTCTCAGGTGGCTTAATTGATGGATTTGTTAACTTTTTTTTTTACAGATTTCAGCTACGCCATTTATCCCTGTCTTTCTTGGTCTTCCTCCTGCCTTCCTCCTAGATGTTCTACTGTAAAAAGTCTCATATACAGTCTGGTCTGGATGCATTCTCACTAGATGGCGGAACCATTACATTCTTTGTCTGTCAAAATAATCCAGAACGTGGTCTTATTCCAACTTTTTCTCTAATGCTAGTATTCGTAACCCTGTCTCATCTAGTGTTGTTAGTGACCTTGCAGAGACAGAGCATTTCACATGTTGTTATTTTCTGTTCAAGTGAACTATTGTATAATCTAAATGTTTTTAATTTGAGGGGGCTTTATATGAAAACCTTACAAGTGGGATAGAAATTACAATAACCCTACCATTGTCTTTTAACCTGTCAGCATAGATGTTAAGGATTTCAAAAGTGTTAAGTACATGACATCAGCCTGCAAATGAACACTGTGATATCATCATGAAATAAAGATGGTGAACCCACTTTTGAGATGCACCAAAGAGGAGCAGCGTTCTTTTATCCATTTTTTTTTAAAATCAGTGAAGGATTGAAACCTACAGACATCCATCTGCAAATTTAGGTCTAATGTGGTGATGCATGCCTGTCCATCCAGCGAGTGTATGACTGGAGTAGGAAGTTTCAAAGTGGCATGACTTCTGTGACGCTCTGTTCATGACCTGGTCAGGCACACCGAGTAGTGACCCCAGAGTTGAATGTAGTCACTGAAAGCCTCATACACTTGTGGGACTGACAGGCATGCTTCACCATACTGGACCTTCATTCACAAATAAAACCCTGTCTTATATAATCAATTAACTCTTTAAAGATGTGAGTGTTTGCACATATTTTGTGCAGAAATGTATTCTGACAGTGAATTGACATTCAATAACATTTTGGAAAACTTAAAAGTCATGGAAAATTTCCGGATGAATGGTTTGCAAATAGAAGTGTATTTTTCAGCTTTGGAAAGAGATTTCGTTTAGTATCTATGATGTGAGCAAACTGTCATGATCCAGACATACCGGGATTAGATGTCAGCTGCAGGTGATTTGTAGCAAACCACTTTGCTATGGTTTTTAGCATGGTGTGAGCTGTGTGCCACTCAGGAAGCAGTGTAAACTACTGAGTGTAACATTGGCTAGCAAAACCACAAACAACCAATAAATGCTGGGGTTGGGTTGTGAAATCATACAGGGAATATGCAACTAACTTTATCTAAGAGATTGGAGATGAGATATTAAGAAAGTACTAGTGCTATAGTTGTATAGGAGAATATCTCCCTAAAGCAGTAAAAAAAAAAAAAATTAAGAATAAGTGTGTACTTGTTTCACATATATACACTAAAAATTAGTTGCATGTTAACTGGTGTGGCACAGTGGCTCTTGGTGGAACAAGTTTATTAAGAAGTCCCTGATGTCGTTTAAAAAAAAAAAAACTCCCCTTTTTGTAATTCTGATATAGATTTACTCTTTTCCTCCTAAATATGAGTATCTAATTGGGATTCACTGGTGTAGCATGTTAGATTCCACATCAGCCACCTATTGTGTGTTCTGTTTTGCCCACAGAGTGACAAATGGTCTGCACAAATTGGAGTCTGGCATCATATGCCTAATGCAGCAGTATGGTCAAGAGGCTCCTTGACTTCACTTTTATATTTTCCTTGCTGCTGCCTAGACGTTATCGTGTTCGCTGATTCTTAACAATGGTCGCAGTTCAGTACCCAAATGTCCCCTTGTGGGTTCTGGGACCCCATTGTGTAGAAGTTGGGGTCAAGAATAGTCCCACTGCCCCTATAACAAGCAGTAGTGTAAATTGACTAATCCGGGAATCAGCAGTCTGCATACAAATAAACCAGATCTGATAAACAGACATGCACACAACTAAAGTCCTGGAACAGGATTAAATTGCAGAAATTAATAAACAACAAGAACTTTCCTCATGAGTGAACTGAAAGAAGAAGGAGAATTCTCAAGCCTAATTAAATGGAGTTTGTGGATAATATTAAACATTTTCTAGAAATACATGAAACATTTTCTGAAAATAGATGAAACATTTTCTGGAAATACATGTATGATGAAAGCGCCATAGCAGCAACGTTCACGTTTTGTTTGTGTTTGTTATATTGTGAAGCTTGCTGATATACTTTTCATTATTACATTTGATGGCCTTTGTCTTACAGCCACTGACAGGAACAAGAATGTCGTCATCCTGGCTTATTTGCCTGAAGGTAAGCATTCACAGTTGACAACAGTTAATCAAACCTACCTTCTGATGCCCTAGCCCTAGCCTTGCCTCTGTGCGGCTGGAATAAAAAAGTTTAGTGCTTCAGAGAACTGAGCTGGCAACTGTAGCATCACCATTGATCAGTTCAGGTTGCCGGATTTGGAGAGATGTAAACTTGGTGTCTTGTGGTTCTTTGGAGACAGACAGAGGTTATGTTGGTGGTTTCAGCATTGCTCTTAGTATAGTCAGGTTGACACACAGGAACATACGACCCTCTTTTATTCTTTTACCCAATCACTGGAGCATAGACCCTCAAGTCAAAAAAAAAAAAATATTAACTTCGTACTTTAGAGATGGACTAAGGACAGAAAAAAACCATACTAGGATCTGCTAATGAACCTATTAGCTGCTGAAATTGGACTGACCAATGGGTATCACATAAAGAGAGATGTAAACTTGCAGGTTGACCCGAGACTATCAAAACCCAAATACAGCATCAACAGCTGGTGAAGTTAAGATACCAGAGACCTTATAAACTAACAATATTTACTTGATGAAATATAAAATTGTACCTGACTGTTGCATGATGTCTATTCATATGAAGAAGAACGGAACCTTGTACGTCACACCTTGTAACATGGGAAAGCCTGACACTTCATATCCCATGGCAGTTTCTGCTATGGGACTACTATCACTTTTTATATTTTTACATCTTTGCCTTCCTCTTCTTGAGTCTGCACTTTTACCTGGTTGTAGCCCAGTGTTATGGTTTTCTGTATTTGTCTTGCACTTCTCGGGTGGGCTATGAGGGTATTGTTCATCTTTCTGCATATTTCAGCTAGATCGTCTGTCCATCTCTTCCTTGGTCTTCCTCTCGCCCTCCACCTGTTCTGCTGTAGAAGGCCTCTTAAACATGTTGGTCTGGTTGCCTTCTTACTAGATTGCCGAACCACTTCATTATCTGTCTTTCAGTGTAATTAAGCAGTCTTGTTGTTCTAGTCTTCTTTTTAATGCTGGTATTTGTGACCTTGCCCTTCCTTGTTTTGCTGGTGATCTTTCAGAAACAGAACATTCCGCAGGTGGTTATATTCTGTTCCTGTCATCTACTTATTGTCCTTGTGGTTTACTTCAAGTAGCAGTTTTTAGGAAGAGAAAAATAAAAGTAACATCTAGGAGACAGGAGGAGTCCGGTGCCTGTCTGAGCTGCATGTACACAGAATCCCATTTTCAGGCTCCTCTTCTTCGTTTTTTTTAAATCTCACTGTTACCAGGTTGTAACCCAGTGTCAGGGTTTTCTATATTTGACTTGTGCTTCTTAGATAGCATGGGTGATGGATTTGTTCACCCCCCCCCCCCCCCCCCCCCCCCCCCCCCCCCCCCCCCCCCCCCCCCCAGGTTTTAGCTGCGCCATTTATCCATCTCTTTCTTGGTCTTTCACTTGCCTTCCTCCCAAATGTTCTGCTGTAAAAAAAAAAATCTCATATGCTGTGTGGTTGGCTGCATTCTCATAAGATGGTTGAACCATTTCATTCTTTGTCTGTCAACATAATTCAGACAGTCTTTTTTTAAACTGTTTCTCCAGTGCTGGTATTGATAACCCTGACCCTTCTTGTGCTGTTAGTGACCTTACAGAGATGGTACAGTTCTCGGGTAGTTATGGCTCCTAGTTAATACTAAATGTAGTAAAAAAAACTACTACTGTTTGAACGTTTTGTCAGTCTTTTGTGTAAAGAGTTTTTTTTTTTAATGATTACAAGTGGTTTTGATTGTTTTATTTCTACTAAGTTGAAAGAAAAAAAAAATTCTCGCACAATAATAATTTCAGTGAAAGAAAGTTTTGGAGGGAACCGACTTCTGCGGCGGGCTGACTTCAATATTGGATCTCATGTCAACACACTGTTCAGAGTTCGATGTAAACTGGAAGATCCGTCCACCAACAAGAAAAATGTTGCAGCTCTGGAGAATAAACATGTGACTTATTTTGGTGAGTCTGTGGTGCAGTTATTAGGGCTGTACCGAATAGTGATTTTCACTATTCGGCCGAATTTGAATAGTGGGACCAACTATTCGGACGAATACGTATAGTGTTTCATTATCACCAGGTACCTTGCCGACTGTTTGGGTGATCATGCCTCTCCACAATCTGCGATCTCCTGCAGCATGTATCAGTTCGGGTGCAGACACACCTCCAAGTCATGCAACAAGACTGTCAAAAATCTTCTTTCGTTGTCTTCCTCTATCCCTCCTTCCACAGATCTTTCCAGTGGTCATAACATGTTCCTTTTCCCCTCTTCTCATAACATGTCTGAAAAATGACGACTGTCTCCTTCTGATGTCTGTGATTAGTTGTCTTTGGGCTCCCGCCTCTTTCAAAACCATTGTACGCTTGGCCGTTCGTTTGAAATAATTTAAACGCACGTTAGCAATATCTACAAATTTGATTTGGGCGAAGACACCCTGAAATGCATGATCTCTCTCTCTCTCTCTCTCTCTCTCTCTCTCTCTCTCTCTCTCTCTCTCTCTCTCTCTCTCTCTCTCACACACACATGCACACACACATTGAGGTTGGCATTTTATGCAGTTTAATACACTTTGAGTGTGAAAAAAAGAAAAAAACTCTTTTAGACTTACAATGAAAGACAATTGAAATTTTAACTTTTAAGTATCTTCATGCCTTCTTCAATAATGTCACAATTTATAGCTGACTTTTCTTGATTTTCGCCGCCGCACTTCTGGCATACACACCCAGTTTGAGAACCTCTGCTGTAATGCCTCTGTCGTGTCACAGGTAAAAACCTTGCCACTGCTGTACCACGCAACCGGGTCACAGTTTCTCCAGCTATGACAGACTTAGGCAACAGCAACTATTGTGTTAATGAGAGAGTTATTTCAGTCCATTGCAGTGTATGCAGAAACGGGTGTAAGGTAACCACTATTTGTATTCGGCCCGACCACAAGTATTTGGCCTAATAACAAATAGTTATTAGGTCCACTATTCGGCCCGGAAGCGAATACGAAGCAAATATTCGGTACAGCCCTAGCAGTTATAGATCATATCTGTTGAGGGTTTCAAAGTCAAAAGTTGGTCTTTTGGAAAAATTTAAAGAGTGACAACCAACCTCAGGTTTGTATTATTATTACCATTTTGAGTGTCATAGTGGGTAATTTGCTTGTTTACCAAGACACTTGTCATCCAGGTTCTTCTCCTTCCTTTTTTTCTTATGCTTTTGTTCTTAAAAGGGTGGTTGACACACGGCTAGGCTGCAATACCTACACCATTCTGCCCAATACATCCGTTTTTAGCGAACCGCTGGTCATACCCCCCCCCCCCCCCCCGACTCCCTATCCCCTTTCTTTCCCCTATTGTATTCTCTGTGACTGGCACCACTAGTGTGGTGATGGGAGCACAGTGTAGTGACTAGATGTGGAAAAGGGTCCTTTACTTTGCTAGTGGTGATGATCTACCAGTTCTCTTACTTTCCACTCTTCTACGTTCCTCCCCCAGCTCTTCTCTCTTTACCTCCCGTTCTGCTAATATTCTCTCTTCTTTTCCTCTCTCTCCCACTCACTGTCTTTCTATGTCTGTCCTCTCTCCCCTTTGTCTTTGTATATGTCTTTTCCTCCCTTTGCATACTTGTCCACCCCTCTCCCTCTGTCTCTATACCTTTGTCTGTTTGCCCATCTCCCTCCTGCCCTCTTTGCATCTCTCCTTCCCTCTATGGATCTCTCTATGCCTGTTTGTTTCTCTCTCTCTACATTCCTCTGTGCTCTGTCTGTCTGCATCATTCTCTCCTTCCCTGTGTGACTCTCTCCTATCTGCTTGTTGCTACCTCTTTGTGTTTCCTACTCCCTATCTCGCCCGTGTGTCACCGGGGCCCTCACGGGAAGCAAAGAATAGTGACACTGCACCCTACCAGGCATGTCGTAAGAGGCGACTAAGGGTAGGGTTGGGCTCGAGGTTGGCTAACTCATTCTGTAAAAACCATAGCCACAAAAACCAACCAACCATGGATAAGTCAAAAAGAGAAGCAAATAAAATCCAGCCAACCAAGATGAGGGAAGGCTCTTCAAATAGAAGAAGTATGACACGGTGTGGAGAAAGCCGTAAGGAGTCCGGATCGTTGACGTACCTCCTCTCAGCTAGGAAAACCTCCAGAATTGGCACCTGGAATGTTAGAACTCTCTATGATATAGGGAGAACAATGGAAGTAGCAAAGGAAATGAAACATTATAGAATTAGTATTTTAGGGTTATGTGAAACTAGATGGACTGGGGCAGGAAAAAGTATTCTAAATTCAGGAGAAACTATTTTGTTCTCAGGACACACAGAGGAAAATTCGCCGCACAGTGAAGGAGTGGCCCTGATGCTATCAAAAGAAGCAGACAGGGCACTAATAGAATGGGAAGCTGTGAGTCCCAGAATAATAAGAGCATCTTTTAGAACAGTTAAACAGAAGGTGAACATGTCGGTAAAACAGTGTTATGCAACAACAAATGATAAAGATGCATCTGTTAAGGAAGAATTTTACATGCAGCTTCAAAATATTATAAATAATGAAAGAAAGGGCAGCTTAAAAATTTTGATGGGTGACTTGAATGCTAAGATAGGATCAGACAACACAGGTTATGAAGAAATTAGGGGGAGACATGGTCTAGGAGTAATGAATGAAAATGGAGAATTGTTCACAAATTTTTGTGCAGGTAACCAGTATGTTATTGGTGGAAGTATTTTTTCCCATAAAAGTATACACAAGGCAACATGGGAATCATCAGACCATAAGACAACTAATCAAATTGACCACATATGTATTAACAAAAAGTTTAGATCATCCCTTTACGATGTTAAGGCTTTCAGAGGTGCCGATGTATTTACTGACCATTTCCTGGTGGTAAGTAAAATCAAGTTGAAACTAAAAAGATATATAACATCTTATAATCATAGAAACCAATATATTGTAGGCTTTCTCAGAGATAAAGAAATTAAGGAACAGTTCTCAGTTACGGTCTCTAATAAGTACAGGGTGTTGCAGCAGTTAGCTATAGATGTCAACACAGAAGTCTGCTGGGATCAGATCAAAGGAATCTGGAATGAATCTTGCGTAGAAGTTCTTGGCAAGAAAGAAAGGAAACATAAAGCATGGATAACACCAGAAACCATTCAACTGATTGAAGATAGGAAAAGTAAAAAGGCAGAATTAAACAATAGCAAAACTAGAGCTGCTAAAGCTAGAGCTCAGGAGAAATACACAGAAGCCAACAAGGAAGCTAGGAGGCATATAAGGGCAGATAAAGTGAAATATCTAAATGATCTAGCACAAGAAGCAGAGACAGCAGCAGCAAAAGGAAACCTCAGAGAACTTTACAGTAACACAAGAAAATTAGTAGGTAAATATATTCAGCCAACTGGATCAATCAAAAATAGTCAAGGAAAGGTACTTACTAACACTAAAGATCAAATGGACAGATGGGTTGAATATTTTAAAATGCTTCTAAATAGACCAGGCCCAGAGGTTCCCCCAGATATCCAGCCTTTAGAAATGGAACTGGATATCAACTGTGAGATACCATCCAAAGAGGAAATTAGAAAAGCTATAAATCTTCTCAAGGAAGGAAAGGCGACAGACCCAGACGGTATCCCAGCTGAAGCCATCAGGACCAACATAAACACATCAACAGAATTGCTACATAGATTATTTAGTAAAGTCTGGGAGACCGAAGAAATACCAGCAGACTGGAGAGAAGGATATCTTGTGAAACTGCCCAAAAAAGGTGATCTACAGGAGTGTGAAAACTATAGAGGAATTATGTTGCTGTCAGTTCCTGGAAAAATATTAAGTAGAATTATTTTGGAAAGATTAAAAGATGCTATTGATAAAATGCTAAGAGATGAGCAGGCAGGTTTTTGGTCAAACAGATCCTGCACTGATCAGATGGCCACATTACGTATTGTAATAGAGCAAAGCATTGAACTGAACTCACCACTTTACATTGGATTTATAGACTATGAAAAAGCATTTGACAGCATAGATAGGGAATCTCTCTGGAAATTGATGGGGCACTATGGAATCCCACAGAAAATTATCAACTTAGTAAAGGCAACATATAAAGACATGAAATGTCGAGTTCTTCATGAGGGAAAGCTAACAAATGCATTTGAAATAAAAACAGGTGTGCGACAGGGATGTCTTTTGTCGCCTCTCTTATTTTTACTGGCTATAGACTGGACTATGAAAACAGTAACTGCTAACACCAAGAATGGAATTCAGTGGACCCCTACAAAACAGCTTGATGATCTGGACTTCGCTGATGATATTGCTCTTCTGTCCCATTCACGGAATCAGATGCAAGATAAATTAAATATTCTTAATGCAAGATCACAGCAGCTTGGTCTGAAAATCCATAAAGGAAAGACAAAGATAATGAGAATAAATCAGGCAAATAGTAATGTGGTTTCTCTTAATGGCACCCCACTCCAAGATGTGGAGTCGTACACCTATTTAGGCAGTAATGTAGATAAAGATGGAGGAACTGATAGAGATATTAAAATAAGAATACAAAAGGCAAGAGGGGCTTTCATAGCACTAGGGAATTTGTGGAGGTCAAAAGAAATTAAAAGAAATACTAAACTAAAAATGTTTAATTCTAATGTCAAATCAGTACTATTGTATAGGGCGGAAACATGGAGAACAACCAAGTCAATTACTAATAAATTACAGACATTCATTAACTGGTGCCTGCGCAGAATAGAGGGAATAAAATGGTATGATAGAATAACTAATGTAGAACTTTGGGAGAGAACTAAACAGGCTCCAGGGGATCAGGAAGTGAGGAAAAAACGCTGGCGTTGGATAGGGCACACACTGAGAAAACAGGAGAACAGCATTACTAGAATGTCTTTGCATTGGAACCCACAGGGGCATAGGAATAAAGGAAGGCCAAAAAACACATGGAGAAGAGAGCTGGAGAACAAGGTTAGAAAGATTGGGAGGACATAGGGAGAGCTCCATGCAATGGCGAAGGATATAACGACTTGGCGTGAGTTGGTTGAGGGCCTATGCTTCATTGGGGGATAGAAAGGCAGAAGAAGAAGAAGAAGACTCCCTATGTGTCTCTCTCCATTTTTTTTATTTGTCTCTTTCCTTCCACCTCTTTTTTTTTTTTTTACTTCCCTTCTTGCCTATCTTTTTCTGTCACTCTCTGTTTGCATCTGTCTCTCTCTATCTGCATCTGTCTCTCTCTTTATGCCTCTTCCTTCTCTCTCTTTCTGCATCACTGTCTTCTTGTCTTTCTCCCCCACTAGCCCTCTTTTACTCTTGCTCTCTCTACCTGCTTTTCCCTCCCTATTTCCCCTGTGTTGTTGTCAGACTCTCTTTGTGTCTCTGTCTCTCTCTGTCTGTCTCTGTCTCTGTTTTTCTTTGTCTGTCTCTCTGTCTATGTATGTCTCTCTCTCTGTGTCTCTCTATCTCGGTCTCTCTCTGTGCCTCTCTCTCTCTCTGTGTCTCTCTCTAAAAAAAAAAAATACCTTGAAAAACCCTTGAAAAATGTTGGTGAATTTGGCTTAAAACCCTGGCTTGTGTCTATCCACTCCATCCTTTGTATATTAGTTGCAAAGCTAATTCTTACAGCAGTTCTTCTGTTGCCATCCATGATCTCATTTTTTTTTTTTTTTTTTTGCCTAGACCTACTAACCCGAAGGAAGGTTTTTGGTTCAGATCCACTTTGAAGCTGATTTTTAATTTTTATAAAATTCTCTTGGCTTCCATGTTAATGCAGTCTACAATTGATAGAGGGTATAAAGCAAATCAGATCATCTGTATTGCAGAACCAGCTGTTGAACATTTCTCACTTAAATAATCTGCAGCTGAAGACACAACCTTTAGAGCTTGAGGCAGATAGCTTAATGACATTGCTGTGGAGACTCCAGTACTTCAACTGTTTTGTCATGGAATGCATCTCTTGCTTATAAGTAGTTGCATACCCTTTACAGGATGTTGCAGAACCAACCACAGCATTTTCTTTTTGGGTGTGGCTGTTGTGGTTTTTCTAGGCAGATGTTACATTCAGTAGTTTGCCATTGCTTTCTGAATGTTCAGATCTCGGTACTATTCTCAAAGCCAACACAAGATAAACTGCTGGAATTGAACCCGTACCCCACCATTACAAAACACGTTCTCAGCACCTAAGCCACAGATGCTGACTTTCTTGCTTATACAATTTCCTATAATATGATTTGAAACTTATTTGGATTACTAAAACAGTTGCAATATCATGTTTGTATATTGTCATGTCTTTCTCTGCCATTGCTTCAGCCACACTTGATGGCAGCATCGGCTACCTTCTTCCGTTAGCTGAGAAGGTGTTCCGCAGACAGCAGATGTTGCAAGGATCGATGATTTCACAGTTGCCTAGTCCTGCAGGCTTGAATCCTAAAGCCTTTAGGTAATGTAATGCCATTTTTTTGCTCAGTAGAAATTTATTGTGAATAATTTAAACCCAAACCTGCAGTGACTGCAATAACCATGTGACCCTCAATCATGAGGTTTAAAGACCTCTGTATGTTTGCCTCTCTGTACTGTCCCTCTGTTTCTCCCTCCTTTCTATCTACATATTTCTCTGCTTGTATCTCCCTCTCTTCCTGTCCCTTCTCTTTCTGTCTTCCTCCCTCCAACTCTCTTTTTCATCTTTTTTCCTCCTTCCCCTGTCTTTCTTTCCTCTATCTTTATCTGTCCATCTTTACAATGTCTCTCCTAGTCTACCTCAGCATCTGTCTTCCCCCTATTGTATTACTCTCTCTCCACTTCCCCTTTCAGGTACTAGGTCCAGAACAGACAGGACTTCATTTTGCACCTCTCTACCACCAAGTCTTCACACAAATGTAAAGACTATATGTGCTGGTATACCCACATGTGTGTGCATGAATGAAGTACCTTGCGTGCTCGGTACATCTTTAAACAAGGCAAAAATACCTTGTTTCAGTATTACTCCGAGACAACCTTGAAAAAACTAAGGATACCTTGAAAAGCCCTGAAATTGATTGGTAAATTTGGCTATGAACCTTGGCTATTAATAGCTGGGTTCAGAGAATCAAAGCTTTAGTTTTGGAGCGATGGATGTGAGGATGTTATTCATGATGTGAAGCAGTGTCTGAATGAACAGATTAAAAACTCTGATACAGGCAAGGTGTGCATACCCTTGTCTGGCAGTGGCATTCAGTCATTGAAGCAGAAGGAGATTGTAGAACATTAAGATGTGTAAAGGACATGATGAGTTATGTTGTCACTGAATGTTATAAATTTTGCACTGACAGTGCGTGAGAAATAAAATGGCGGGGCATTACTTTCTCTCACACATTATAATTCATCATTCCTGTGTGGGTTCCGAGGCCTGTTGTAGGGATGGATAAAAGATAGACCGAATGCCCCTTAACAAGCATGTTGTAAGAGACAACTAATTAGTGATGTTTCTTTCAAAGTCGGAGTGCATCTGCCTGAGAGGTGAGGAACCAACAGCCTGTCTGCACACAAATAAGCCAGATGTGTGAAATGGATGTGCATGCAAAACTCAGTTCTGGAGCAAGACCAAAGTCCAGACGTGGATGAAAAGCCAGAACCTTTCACCCTAGTTTACAGCTGGTGAAGAAGATTTCATCTAGTTGCCACCACATGTACTTGTGTTGTTTCATTTATGTTGGGGACAATACAAAAGTCTGTTGTGTCAATCTTCCCTGCTTCTTATTATTGTTTTAGAGCTTTCAAACCTACAAAGCTGGACAACAACAACCCACAGCGGAATATTCTGGATGGTGAGCTGTGCTGGAAGTTTCTTCACCTCTCTGCCATGGAAAGAGTAGAAGTTGCCAGGAAGATTGGCACATCAGTGGATCAGGTCAGTGTTTTGTCATGCTTTTCAGATAGTGGAACTTGTGATACTTTTACTATTTTAATTCATCATCATCATCATCATCAACTTTTCCTGTTGGCTGCAGTATCACCTTATGTTCACCTTGCCTCTTCTTCAAGCCTTGAGCGTTGGCCAGATTCTCTAGCCACTCACAGTTGTATCAATGAATGCAGGCTATAATTATTGCATTGCAAACATGTCAATATGTGCTTCAGCTTCTACATAATAAACCAGTTTGTATACATCAACTACTTGTGCTAGTTCTGGGTCGTAGATGGTATGTTAGTGTGTTGGGGTTATGTAAGTTTTTTTTTTAAATTCTAATTTTCTATTAGTTCTAGGTGTTCTGTTGTAGATGTTTAATTTGTGTTTATGTGTTTTTGTTCTAGATGCTTTATTATTTCTAGGTCTTCTTTTATTTTTAGATGTTCCATTAGTTCTATGTGTTCTGCTAGTTCTCTTTGTTTAGGCTTTGGAAATTATGAAGAAGTATTTTTGTTTTTTTGTTTTATTGTTATTTAAAGTGATCCTTTACATATGAGACATTCATCGCATTTTGTTCTGACAGAAGAAAATTTGATGCTTGATTATTCTATCTCTTTAACAGTTGATAGAGGACCTAATGGAATTTGATCGTCTGACAGCCCATTTTTAACCATCTCAGTCTTCAAGAATAAGCATGAAAAAGATCTTGAATAATCTAGGCTAGTTTATTTGAGTAAATTTTGTGTGGAAAAAAAAAGACACGTTTTTTGTAGTATGTTATTGATTTTAGTTACATCTTTACATGTATGTGATTTTATTGCCTTGAAATGTTCATATTAAAATTGTTAATAAATGTTAACAGTTTCATTCTTCTCTGTATATCACCATATGGATATATGGGATTAATTTGTTTCTGTATTGAAACAATTGTAATCATTGTGTCCATTTGTGGTAGACATTTAATTTGATGGCAGATATTCTTGATTGATTATGGAACAGAGGATTGGTAGGGATACAGTCAAATGGCAGGTTGTCCTCTGGGGTTATTTGTGATTGTATAATTGTACAAGTAATCAGTTTGTAACTTACTTTCTTATGAAATATTTAATTGTCTTTTATAATTCAGCAGTTTTTGTTCTTATTGAACATAATATAGTAAAATATAAAAAAAAAAAAACAATTTTTTGCGGTTTACTCAAAGCAAGTGACATGACTACAGCTTGACAGAATAACTTTCGCTCAATGTTCTGGTTCTCTTGTTGACTTAAAAAAATAATATTAATTTTTAAAAAAAGTAGGTGTGATTGAATTATATTACATATTTTCTTTAATTTTAAGATAAGTTACTAAAGTTTCTTTTAGATTTGTTCTCTTATTTATTGCTTTCAAAGACTTAGTAAATTCTGGACAAAGCATGCAAACATAAACTGGCTTATGATATATTGAGCATATATAAGTGATTCTGGTTCCATCCTAGGCCTTTTTTCTTCAGCATTTTTATAAATAGCATTGGGTGTTGTGTTGATATTTAAATTTGTATTACTGTTTCATTGATTCTATACTTTAATGTTTTGGAGATAATTGAGCTGCGTTTTTTTTTTTTTAACAGCTGAGACAACACATTAAATTGTTTTGAGCATTTTGTTGACCCAGTTAAGCCTTCCTGGCCAATCTGATGTTTGAAAACACAGAGTAGTCTTTTCCTAGAGAATTGTGCACATAGAACAGCAGCCATTTCTCCTTTTGTCTGATGATTTGGTTCTCTCTCTGGTAAATTATGGCAAGGGAATGAACCTAGCATGAAATACAATACTAGGGGCACATCTAACAAAACTAGGAGATATATGCATCTTATTCATCAGCAAATCCATCAATTATGTAAACCAAGATCAGTGTTGATATGAAGGTGGTAGTGATGGCGCACACTCCTTACATCTGGCTTTTTCAAAGGCATTTGGTAATTTGTTTAAAAAATGTTGTTTTAATAATTTATCTTTAAAATAATTAACATATAGTAAGAATATTGTTATTTGAGACAAACTTTAAACCTAGCATATTTTACTTTCCTAATTTTAATTTTTACTTGCATTCTCCATATCTTCCCATGGCCCAGCACCAGTCTTCTCTTTTGCTACCTGAAATACCATAGATAAATATGGTATTGGATATGGCCGGTAGCCGGTGTACAAGTGAGCTGGTGAAATACCTTATGTAATAATTCTATGCATGTATAGCCAACTTGTCGCGCCCGACTACTTCCATCAATGACAAACTGCATTTCTGATGGCAACTGTTGGCTTTTACTGCATGCAAATTGGATTGGATTGTTCCAGTCAGCCAGCAAACCACACTAAATTAGTCAGCCAGAATGCCCCACAAAATCAGTCAGCCAGAATGCCACACAAAATCAGTCAGCCAGAATGCCACACAAAATCAGTCAGCCAGAATGCCACACAAAATCAGTCAGCCAGAATGCCACACAAAATTAGTCAGCCAGCATGTCACACAAAATCAGTCAGCCAGCAAACCACACAAAATCAGTCAGCCAGAATGCCACACAAAATCAGTCAGCCAGAATGCCACACAAAATCAGTCAACCAGAATGCCACACAAAATCAGTCAGACAGCATGCCACACAAAATCAGTCAGCCAGAATGCCACACAAAATCAGTCAGCCAGAATGCCACACAAAATCAGTCAGCCAGAATGCCACACAAAATCAGTCAGCCAGAATGCCACACAAAATCAGTCAGCCAGAATGCCACACAAAATCAGTCAGCCAGAATGCCACACAAAATCAGTCAGCCAGCAAACCACACAAAATCAGTCAGCCAGAATGCCACACAAAATCAGTCAGCCAGCATGCCACACAAAATCATTCAGCCAGAATGCCACACAAAATCAGTCAGCCAGAATGCCACACAAAATCAGTCAACCAGAATGCCACACAAAATCAGTCAACCAGAATGCCACACAAAATCAGTAAGCCAGAATGCCACACAAAATCAGTCAGCCAGAATGCCACACAAAATCAGTCAGCCAGAATGCCACACAAAATCAGTCAGCCAGAATGCCACACAAAATCAGTCAGCTAGAATGCCACACAAAATCAGTCAGCCAGAATGCCACACAAAATCAGTCAGCCAGAATGCCACACAAAATCAGTCAGCCAGAATGCCACACAAAATCAGTCAGCCAGAATGCCACACAAAATCATTCAGCCAGCATGCCACACAAAATCATTCAGCCAGAATGCCACACAAAAAAAGTCAGCCAGAATGCCCCACAAAATCAGTCAGCCAGAATGCCACACAAAATCAGTCAGCCAGAATGCCACACAAAATCAGTCAGCCAGAATGCCACACAAAATCAGTCAGCCAGCAAACCACACAAAATCATTCAGCCAAAATGCCACACAAAATCATTCAGCCAGAATGCCACACAAAATCAGTCAGCCAGCATGCCACACAAAATCAGTCAGCTAGAATGCCACACAAAATCAGTCAGCCAGAATGCCACACAAAAAAAGTCAGCCAGAATGCCACACAAAATCAGTCAGCCAGAATGCCACACAAAATCAGTCAGCCAGAATGCCACACAAAATCAGTCAGCCAGAATGCCACACAAAATCAGTCAGCCAGAATGCCACACAAAATCAGTCAGCCAGAATGCCACACAAAATCATTCAGCCAGCATGCCACACAAAATCATTCAGCCAGAATGCCACACAAAAAAAGTCAGCCAGAATGCCCCACAAAATCAGTCAGCCAGAATGCCACACAAAATCAGTCAGCCAGAATGCCACACAAAATCAGTCAGCCAGAATGCCACACAAAATCAGTCAGCCAGCAAACCACACAAAATCATTCAGCCAAAATGCCACACAAAATCAGTCAGCCAGCATGCCACACAAAATCAGTCAGCCAAAATGCCACACAATTTTACCTTAAAAGTAACAAGAACAGTCTCAGACAATGTCTGTCAAATAAATGTAAACACACTTCAACAGATGCCACTTATAGACTTTTTCTGAAACTGGATGAAATTGACATAAGTAAGTTAAATAATCTTCTGAAAAAAAAAATGTTCCTCACAGGAACACGGGCATTCACATCAGAAACAGCATGCACTGTAATCTAACTGGGCACTTGGCCAACAATTCCCAAGCTTTAGTTAACTGTAATAAACTTTAAAAAAAAAACTCCTCCACAATGGAGGTTGGCTGCAGTAATATGTGTATCCACTATTCATTGTCTTAAGGAATATTACACGATCAGACCTCAAACTCTTCCACAGTGTGACTCTCCTACAACTGTCTGAAAGCCACATCTTTTTTCTATATTGCCTCTCATGTAAATCAGACCTTGATGACTGGGATTGGGAAACAATTTCACAAACTGAGGCACTGAGCTGCACAATCAGTACCAGGATGCTAATGGTAGCCGCCTTGAACACCTCATGTAACTGTGATGGTTCAGATACAGCTTTATTCAGCTCTTGATGTCTGTATAAATGTAAGTTGGTTCAGGTTTTATTTAGCTAAATCATGCATAACATTTTTTTTTTTGTTGGCCAAACTGTATAACAGTGAGAAGAAAGAGTGTTAAAGTGGCTATATTGTTGATGTCTTGTTGTATAAATGTGAGACAAGGACCATAAGCAGACAAGTGGAAAAAACATTTACTGACATTCTTTTTTTAAAGAAGAATGCAAAGAATATAATGGAATTAAAGAAAATTAACAAGGCAGTCTTCTCAAGACAGATGGAAGTTGTAATCTGAATAGAAGACAGGCTTGTGTTTTTCCAACATTTGAGAAGGAATGGATTTAGAGAACTACGTGATTTCGGATGTAGCAAATTTCTGTTGGGGTAAAAGTTTGTTTACCCCAGCAATTTTTCTTTGCTTGATTTCTTTTTTGGATAAGAGGGATTTCTGATAAGAGGTACCATTTTTTGAGTCCCTAGTGAGGTCTCCTTATTAAAAATGCACTGGATAAGTTGATCTTCACTTCTGTTCTTGATGCTGCCTTTTCCTTGCTCTATGTTTATTATATTTCTTCAGCTTGGCACTCTGTGACATTTGGCACCAGGGCATTTCATCAGATGGTCAAACCATCTCATCTGTTACACTTTAATGAACTGTGTGCTGATGATTATTGCTTGTATGAAAGTCAGGCTGTTGTGTAGCAGATGTCTACTGGCGGGGAACTTTGTGGGTACAGCATTGTTCCCAGAGCAGAGTTGGAAATTTGTACAGTCAGTGGGTTGTGTGGATGCAACATCTTCTCGCTGTTAAGTATCAATATAGTGAAGATGCCAGCCAAGAGTGCTGTTATGTCCTTGGTAAATATCTCTTTATTGTTGTTACATTGTTTTGAAAATAAAACATTGCCAACCACATACAAATACTGTACTGAACTTGTACGTTGAGTTGAATACTACAGGTATATGAATGCTGTTTTTGTCTATGACAACAAAGTCATGTTAGTTGAATAGGATTCAATGGAGTATTTTATTTTTTTATTAACCAAACTCTGTCAAGCCTTGTATGATTGTGTTATATTTATGGTTTGATCGGAATAAAATACCACACAAGATGCTGCAAAGCAAAAGTTCATCTGAATGATTTATTTTTAAGCTAAAATGGCTGACTGACTGACTTTCAACCC